AATTTAAGTTATAAGGAGTTGCCCATTCGTTTAGGGGTTCTACTATAAGCCTCTTAATTTCTATAGTATACCTTCTAGGTCTTCTGCACTTCCTATTACTAGGGAAGAGTAGTTTATGCAGGTTTGCACGAATTATTTCAACTTATAGAATAGGTAAGGCGGTATAACTCGGCGAACTAAGACTATAATTTAAGCATATCCTCTAGTTAAATCGTTAAATTAGGGGCTCTTAGAAGTACGCTTATACTAGGTTACCTCCTTCTACACCTAAGGGAGTAATCTACGCCTAAACTCCTAAACCCTTATCTATATATCTATATCGATGTCCCTAATGCTATCTATATTATAGTCCTCCTCTTTAAGCTTCTTCTTAACCTTACTAACCTTATCTATTAAGCTCTACTACCTATTACTAGCCTTTAACTATATAAAAAACTCTAATAACGTATCCTTAGAATCTACCTCGATAGGACTAGAAACTAGCGGTACGGTAGTAGGGGCGGCGAATACAGGCAGTCGAGGCGGTAGAAGCTACTATAGCTATAGGAGCTAGTATTACTACTAAGATTGCTATATCTAAGACATTATGCTTATAGCTATAAGATTAAGCATGTCGTTTAGTGTTTAGGGGGTTAGCGGAATTAGAGGAACCTCGGGTTATTTCTTCCTTAATTTTTAAGCATCTAAGTGCTTCTTAAGCTTTATAACGATGTTAATAGAGAGGGTGTCGACTATTAAAGACCTAGAGTTAATGTCGTTAGACTACTCTTTAATAATAGTGTTATTGAGTTAGTAATAATTCTAAGCAATATTTAACCCCTTCTAAAAATAACAGTCGCTAGAGTAGAGCGCATTATTAAGTAAGTAGGTCTACTTAAGTATAAGATTAGAATAATAGTTACTTCTCGCGCGCTCGGCCTCTAGCGTAGACGGTATATTAAGCCTCTAGATATTAGTAGTAGTTCCCTTACGCTTCTAACTAGCTATAATAATAGCTAAGTCCTCTTTAAGCTTAGTTAAATGCGCGATAACTAATAGGCGTAACTTAGACTTGCCCTTCTTATACTACTTTATTAGCTACTTCGTTAGAACCTCCTAATTCCTATTATTACGTAGTGTTGTCGACACGTAAGTATTACGGTTTAATAGTAGAAACATTATAGTAGCGAAGAGCTTATATTTAGCACTAAACACTTGCGTTACCTACTTAGTAAACACCTTATCGATCTATAGCTAAAATTAACTAAAGATCCTACTATCGGCGTAGTTAAAATTAAAGGTACGCGTATCTAATGTCTCTTTACTATATATAGTATACTACTTACTAACAAACTTATAGGCCTCGAGCGCTTAAGTAGCCTCCTCCTTAAGAGCTTATATTACTATACCTAATATAACGATAGCGGCCTTAAGCGCTTAAGCGGCCTCTTACCTTATATTATAGCTAACTATCTAGGATAAGATAATAGGTTACAGGGTTAGACTTATAAAGTAGAGTGTTAAGCAAAGTAAAGCAAGTAGTATATATAGTAGTATATACTATAGGGACTATTAGAATAACTAACTAAGTTAAACGTAGGACTACCTAAGGTCGTCCTACCTACCTATATACTTAATAGATAATAAGTGTATGTATGTTGCTCGCTTAAGGGAGCAGTAAGCATTATATAGCTCGCTAGCTCGCTTAGTAAGTAAGCAATAATCTATAGCTTGCTAGCTTACTACGTAAGTAAGTAATGTTATAGTAGTAACCCTAGCGGAGCAGCTAGCTTACGCGCTAAGAGCGTAAGTAATCGTTATAGCTACCTAGCTTACTACCTTAGTAGGTAAGTAGGGCATCGACTAATAACGGATTATAATACCTTACGCGGTTCTCTTTAGTAATATCTATTATTAACTTCTTATACTTAAGGCGCACAATTTCCCGATTATTAGCCTCCTCCTCTTTATTATCTACTACGTCGTCGCTATATATCTTATTAAAGGCCTCGTTGCTAGAGACCTTATTATTATTAGTTACTATAGTAACCTTAGGCGCTACTTTAACGCTTATAATAACTGACTTAGTAGTAGGTGTTTTAAGTCGTATCCTAATGCTAGAGGGTGTTACTAGCTTTACTATAGTCTTTAATGTTCGAGGGGTCTTCGGAGCCTTTATAACCTTAAATGTTATAGTAGTAGCGGTAGTAGCCTTTAAGGTTGGTTTCCTTACGCGTAAAGGCTTCTTAGTAGTAGCACTACTAGCGCTAGCTTTAGAAGCACGTTTAGGACCTATATCGACGAGGACGACGAGTTATAGCATGTGCTAATAGATGTTTACAGGTCTTCTAATTTACTATGGTACCGTTACCAAACGTCGAAAAAACGGCGAATTCCGCGCTTAAACGCCCAGGTTCCCCAGTCCCAATGATTTCTGAAAGGACAGTAATATCATAACGAGCAAGGTCATAAGCAAAACAAATGTATGCATGCTGCGGTCAGCTTTTGAGGTGCGGACCTTATGTCAGCCCCACACAGATGACTGTGCCTCCACTCAGCCCGGTTCTCGAACAGATCGTCGATTCAAAGTCACCGCCTGAACTTCAGTGGCGGCATCCCTTGAGCACATTGTCCACGTCGACTAACAAACTTGGAGCCTTAGAACAAGCACGGCCAGCTGTTTCAGCAAAACCATGTCTTGCCAAGAAATGCTGTGCTCCCAGCTATCGTGCTCTTTAAATATCTGCCTTTCCGATCGCTTGTCCGGTAGTCTCGCCTGACTTGATAGTGCGCCCTTCCCACAAACCTATATCACACCGGATAGCTTCGAAACCAATCATAATGGCTCGATATTCATATTGCGCAGGTCATGGGGACACGAACAGTATCTCAATGCAAAATCTCGAAGGCTCCACAGAAGACCAGACGCTCCACGAAGCTTCTGGACAGCCACAGTCAAATGGTTCACATGACAACGGTCTTGAACAGCTTCTAAGCGTACAGGGAACTCGGGATGAAAGTCAAGAACCTCTCATCAATCAGTATACTGCCACGAAAACACCTGCGGCGGTCGATTCAACGTTGCAACCGCTACTTCAAAAGGTCCAGCCACTAGGCAAAATCTTAGCCGCGCGTGTCATTGGTAAGACTGAGATTGTTGCTCTTGCTATATCAGTCTTGTCAATGATGTTGGCAGTAGCGACGGTCGCTAATGATAACATTGCATGGTATCTTCGGTTCCAATACCAAATTGTTGTCGTAGGCCTTCTACTTAGCCTTATGAACATCTGCATGATGACGGTACTGCCTACTACCCTTCTCCGTTGCGAGGCGCTACTTGGCGACTCAGCCATCCAGAATTTTGAAGCCATTGTTCGCAACAGACCGTTAGCATCCAAAACGGCTTGGACTTGGCGACTTGTTCTTGCGGCATTAATAGCACTCCCGCTCGGGTTGAGCGTGCTTTACAAACTCTTCAAGGACGGCGCAGCAGTACTCAGCATAGAACCCGAAAACAGCCTCTACAACACTGCTTTTGGTCTTTTTGCGCCTCCCGGACTGCTACCCCTTGGCTGGGATTCAGGAACAATACTGATGTACAATATCACAATGCCCTTCTTGATGGCTTCAACGAATCAGACAGCACCTCGCAATGCCAATACCTCTCAATTGCTCGACCCACTAGACGAGGTCATCCTCCCTGCGACTTGGCCCCAAACATACGGCTTCAATACGTTGCTGCTCAACAATTCCACAGCAGCGCTTCTGGACGTTCCGCCACCGGACTGGATAACCAATGTGCAGAACAGTCTCAAGGACGGCGACCACTTAGACATCGCTGCTCCTGTACTCGCAACTGTGGCATCAAGAAACCATTCTGTGGATGCCCACAGGAACGAGAGTTCTAATTCTGACTTCTGGGCTGAATTTGGTCTCGACAAGGGGCTATTCTTCCAGGACCTTTTCAACGATTGGTATATTGGTATGAAACCAAGTTTTCTCAACGCAAGTGTAGACCGAGCATGGTGCTTTGTCTCGATTCAGGCTGGTAAGTCTGTGCCGAGCTTCATATCTACAACACAGCTATGGGAGCTCAACAGGGTGTACTGTTCTGGAAGATGGCGCGTGACAAGGGCGGGCACTAAACTTCTCAACGGGACTTGCGACACCAACGACCGGCCCGCTTTCATAACCAAATACGACCAACCTGAACTCATACTCACCCGTACTGGCAACGCGTTCTCCTTGAATGTTTACTTCTTACCCGCTCTGAACGAGTTTTTAGCGCCTTTCGACCAGTCGCGGAATGATTCGGACTGGGTCTTGCCAACAATGGCAACTAGTGTGGCAAGCATGTACTGGTCACGACTTGCTGCAATGGAAGGGCCAGGTAGTCCGCATTGGACAGGAAACAACAGCTTTGCTAAAAGGAAAGCCCCACGGCCAAACGATAACATCACCGACGGACTGTTATATGGTCGTTCAGCTAGTGTCGAATCGAGCCGACCCACGCTACAGAAGGCTACCATCTTGTACATCGTGTTCGTCGTCCAACCCTTCATCACTCTTGTTGCCATCATCGCCGATTTGTTCATGTGGGATGTGCCTATCGGGAGCGGCTTCAATATGGTTACTGTCTTAGCTGGGGCAGACGAGAAACGTGATCTATTGGCAGGTGCTGGATACTCTGGAGAATTACGCCGACCTTTATACATGGAGATCGTTACTGAGGAACAGACAGCAGGAGCAGCGAGACTAATTTATCGATTTACAGATCGTAAACCCCAGAGGCTGACGAGGCTGGTACGCAAACACCTGTACTCATAGCATGCTCAGAAACTAGAATCTGTGAGTCAGAGCAAGCATGTCACATATGGGTACCGAGAGGGAGCTTGAGTTTTAGGAAAACATGAGTACTCAATCAGATTTCGTTTTGCAGCTTCTCTTGCACGTGAAATTGTCATTGCCTCTATTCCAATGGCGAAATGCACATTTGTGACAGCACCGTGCAGAAAAAGGCGCTGTAATTTGGTATCATGTTGCATCACTCATCAGAGTCAACTCTAGGAAGTTTCTTCTTGGTATCACAACCCAGCCACAGCAGGTCCGGCCGACTGTAATGCCCGCAGATATCCAAGAAGCTCTTGGCAAAGATTGCAGCAGTGAAGTCAAGGTCAGCGAATATCAAGCCTTCAGTGGCAGAATCCAGAGGAGCAGTTAACAATCTACCATCAGGACCGAAGATGGCGGATGCTCCTCCTCCGGGACTGTTCATCAAGAGACCCGCTTCTGTCGACATGGTCTCGATACCTTTCTCCGTGATAACGGTCGTGGCGTGGAGAACGAAAGTTTGCGATTCGATTGCGTAGACCTGGGATAGACTCTGGCAACCTATAAATTCTGTCAGCGGCCATTGGCACGCAATATCCGTTGACTTGAGACTCACCTTCTTTGGACAAAGACCAAAGATCAGGACCTCCCTGATGAGGTACAATTGGCGGCCAAGCAGCACAATGAATTTCCTCCTTCTGGGAGATTGTGTTGAATTTCAACAGCGGTTGTGCATGCTCCCAGCAGGCTAGAGTACCGACTTTCCTGCCTATGCTCGTCTTTGAAACATTCAACAGACTGTCGCCTGAAGCGTCACCGAAGATTGTTCGCTCCATGTGTGTTGCCTTGAGCTTGCGACGATTCATCAGCATCGCGCCATCCGAGTCTATCAGCGCTTGAGCGATATAGACGGAATTGTTGTCATTCTCGGAGAAACCAAGCGAAACAACAATCTTGTTGCGAGCTGCGCAGTCTTGAATCTTTCTCATCTCGTCTGAATCGACGGCAAGAGAGTTTTGGATGTATTGGGTGGACAGCATAGGATCCAAAGGACGTGTCCTGCTCATGAAAAGTAAGTTGCTGGTTTGGATGCGATTGGAGAGTTGAATAATCACCATATCCAAGCTGGGTAGCCAGGAATGAAGGCTTCAGCAAAGGTGACGAGTTCTGCTCCTCCGACGGCAGCTTCTTCTATGATCTTGCAAGTCTTCTCGACGGATTTCTGAAGGTCCAGCCATTCAGGCTCATGCTGGGTGACAGCAACACGAACAGTTGATTTATCAGGCATGGTTATGAGAAGGATATGTGTAACGATGAAAGCTGACTTGGCTGATCAGAAAGATGAATGGACAATAATTCGAAGGTGGGTTCGCTGAGTATCTTATATATGTGTTGAAGCCTCGTCCGCAGCTATGGAACAACTGACAGTAACTCCGCATCAGACTAGATTTGATATGGGTGTTGATACTGCCGTGTCTGACATATCTTGCTTGCGGATGTGTCTTCCGCACGGCGTTGCACCAGAGATCTACTGTTATCAGCTGCATCAACCTTATCTACCTCGGCCCGTCTAGACCTATTGATAACAGCATTACCCCGCTTCACAGTTCGAAGGCACGAGACAGGAAGTATGGTTGAAGTAGACGACACTCTACGGTATTTGTTTCACTATCAAGGATATAATTGCTTACGTCGCAACAAAGCGGAAGTTACTGCTTGCGGCGGATATCGAAGCAAGACGCTCACATTGGTTGACATTAGTATCAGCCCCGCTCTCAAACGATGAGATCTGCAGACAGGGAGTATGTACTGACTAGGCTTTATCTCTTGCTATGCTCCTCCCAAGTGTTGCCAGTCAAAATCCCATAGGCCCTCATTGCTGAGAGGTATCCCTTCAGCAGCCTGCAAGATCCAGTCGTGGTCTGCCGTTCCTTCTGTGCCCCAAAGTGTCTCAGCGGCAGTGTTTAAAGCAGTATCGTCGAAAACGTTGTATACGTCAACTGCCGCGTGAGATTCAGGCCCCAAACCACCAAAGTCCTGTTCCGTATTCAAAGGCCGAGCACCACAAGCCAAGACTTGGCTGTGCTGTATCGGCAAGGCCCAAACCACTTCCCATCTATGCGCAAGGTTCTGTATGTGCTGGAGAGAATCTTGTGCTCTTCTCTCCCAAGTGGGAGTCATCTCTGAAAGGGTCTGAACACAGGTTCGAAGACCATTTGCAGACTGTCGGCCTAGGCGATTCTTTCCAGATGTCGCATTCAGGAGATGCATGGTGGCGGCAATGGAGATGTAGTCAATGATTTGTGGAGCAATCGCTGTGAACTTCCGAGTCGCGCCAAACTCACGAACGGTGCGAGAGATGGCCGCAGCTGCAGTAGTAGCCACCGTCAAAGAAAATCTGCCAGCCTTACTGCCACTTGCTTCTGAGAGAAGCGGTCGATGAATTAGAATAAGAGCGGCTTGATAGCTGAGTTGCAGCCAGACTGCAGTCTCAGACAAACGATCTTCAGGAGTATGCAGGTAGGCATTCGTGGTTTCATAGAACTTGGTCAGAGTCTGGTGAGAGTGAAGCACAAGTTTCTCCTTCTCCGTCTGACTCAAGCGATACCAACCAAAGGCATAGCTATCACATTTTAGTCATATAATCGTTTGTACATGTCAACCGTTCCTTACCCTTGGTCCATACATGAGTCCCATAGATGCCACATTTCACAAAAGCGTTCATGAGCCCATTCATCTACTGTAGCTCCCGTGGGAAGGATGGAAGTGAACGATGTTGACTTGACTCGTTGCCAATGCATGGTGCAATTCATGCCGAGACTGGATGTCACTAGTCTACAACCGAACACAGTCAGTTTGAGATATATGTAGACTGTGTACCAAAGACACGACTCACCTGTCCACTGAAAAGTATGCCCAGAACGATCTAACACGACGTTGTTGAACTCTTTGGTCAGGAAGTCCCGAAAGCCGTGCTGATTTGAGAGCACTTGCATGCAGTCCTAGGTGAAGTACTTGTCCAGTAGCCATGGCTAATCATTATGTCAGTATCAGCAACGAAAACTTCCCGTGGTCACTCACCAATCCAGTTATATGCCATACTTCCACAGCCAGATTGCAGCTCTGTCCAGGCTAACAGAGCAAGCCCTTGAACCACAAGATCGGTCGGAGTTTCTTTGATACAGCGGAAGACAAATCCCTCAGCGCGACTCTTGAAACTCTTCTCTAAGTTTTGTATTCGTGTAATATCAGAACATGAAGCAGCGACGGCGTACAAAGCGTTGTTTCGGAATGTTAAATCAATATCTCCAACAGCGGGTTCTGAAAGTGCCATGTTCACAAGTTCGTCTGTCTCCAGGAATTGGTGAAAGCGGTTAAAAGTCTTCGAGAAACATTCTATCAGATAATGCCTGTCGTCGAAAGTTACGCAGTCTCCATTGCGGACTTCGACATCGAATTTGATATCGGGACTGTTTGATGTCTTCGTCTGTGGCACTTTGCTTGCTGATAGAGTGAAAGAGGGCTCTCCTATGTCCGCCACATCGAGCTGGAGCATCAGTGAAGATAGCTCGTTCATAGCGTGAGATGATCTGCTCTCGAAAGCCTGGTCCTCTCCCAGCGGGGTGGAACAACCTTCAGATATTGAAGACGAGAGACCGGCGAAGGCAAATGATGAGTCCCTTGTGTCGTGGTTTATGTCTGGGTCGACCATTTGACGTTCAACGTTTCCAGACTGTGTGTTTTTCAAAGCATCACGCAATGCCTTGATTTCTTCTCGCAGAGAGAGGACAAGATCTTCGTCTTGAAAAACACGTCTTTCTGGATGTCAGTTTCCAGACTCAAGCGATGAGGAATGAGATCCACTCACTTTCTTGAGTCCTCAGAAGCATAATGACAAACGCGGTCAGATTTGGTGCACAAAGTGCATCTGGGTTTGCGACCATCGCACTGTGTCAAACGTCAGTCAAGCAGAAAAATTGCAGTACCGTGCGATGCTACGCAATGACGAGGAGCTCACATGGAGTATGGTACACGCACCTTTCGCTTGCCCCTCCTACAGTCGTCACACGCAATCTTGATACGGGCGCGTGGGCCCGTCTCCTCGGGATCCATGATTGAATAGCCGGAACATGAAAGATGCGGATCTCTGTGCCGCACCAGTGATAGAAAATGTGAGATCCCGCGAGCCAGTAGCGCAACCTGACATATCAAGAACGCTGTAGTTGTCGCAGCGAATGAAGGACGAACGGTGGTCAGCGAGATTGTTGATTACCCCGCCTAGACCCTGATTTTCGCCAGCCAAACTCTATCTGAGGTGCGGATATGGCATCCGCACAGATGCCAAGCATTGACTATCGCTCTTTCCTACAACTTCACCATGCGGATAGTCAATCCGCACAAGAGATTGAGTGTGGAAGTGCGCTGAAGGCTGTTCGGTAACGAAGAGGGGGTGTCGAGATCAAACTTTGATATATGTATAAGTGCCTGAGTACCCTAACAGGAAAGCAAATGAGAGAACGTTCCCATCCATACCTTGACAACTTCATCAGAATCTCGCTCTACTCTCAAATATGGTTTTCCTTGCCGACTGGGAAAAGGAGCATCTGTTCGTCTACGGAATTTTTGGCGTCCAGCATAAAGAGGGACAGACGGAAAACACCACAGCTATCGTTGAATCACTGCACAGTCTGTTGACTTCATCTGCTGGACAAGTCGATCTTCTCACCAATGAGAGCCACGGTCTTGCAACAGAGACCGAGCTTCATACCACTACCTTTGTTGCTTACTGGCTTGATGCGACCGTGTATCAGGCATGGGCTTCTTCTGGTGAGGTTCAGCATTTCTGGAATACCCTTTACGATGATGCTGGAGTCTGGCGTGAAGTCATGACAATTCCTACCTCGCGGTACATGTTTGCTGCCAATCAGAATTTCAGATGGGGCCTCACATGCCTGATCGATAAGCTGAGAGCGAGCAACGACGAAGGTTACTGGGGTGTTTACCGGCACAGAATTGGCTCCAAAGACGACACCTTCACCTCGCCATATATCACAGCAGCAAAGGCGAAGAGAACAACAGATGATATCAAAAAGGCGAGCGGTCTTCGCGTCCTTGATATACCAGCAGAAGGTCCAAAATCTTCGAGCAAGGTCAGACTTGGACGTGTACGGCTGAAGAATATTCCCGACAACATCTGCTTCGTTCGGGAAGGACAACGCCAGCCCAATATCGCCAAGGAAGAGCTTGGTCTCTGGCTTGAGAAGGTCGCGCCTCATGCAAGGTCATGGATTGAACACCTTGATCTGCACAGGGAGAAGAATGGAGTGCTGTCTTTCTCGACCCATGTAGGCCAGGAGTCAAAGTTGACCGACTCAGAAGCGGCAGAAACTGATCAGTTGGCGTATTTCCTGGATCTTGCCCACTTTGAGGCGTCCGGTCGGGCATTTAAGGGCCATGTACAATTGAGGAAGACTGTCATGGAGATGTATGGACCAGGAGGACCCATGGAGGGTATTGGGAAAGCTGAGCTATATGTCGAGCTCCTTATCTTGAAGTCTGACGAATTCGATGCTGAGTATGTTGGGTGCCTTGAAGGAACCGGTCTGATGTATCTGAAGAACATTGAGTAGCGAAAATAGTGAGACAAAGCCGGTAGAGACTCATCAGTCACTGCAGTAATTGAGGAAGGGGTCTTGATCAGATGACACTGCAAAAGAGAGTGCTCGAGTATTGTGATGCGAGACGCAAGAAATGCGCACTACGTGGAATTTTCCTGGCCAAAGCGTTGGGAATTGCCAGGTTGAGAACTCAGTTGTCAACACTTGTCGCGTGCACTTAAACGCAACGCCTTTCGCGTCAACGTAACCCGACATTTTTTCGCCCTCGCAATGCCATGATGATTACCTATGCAGAATGTACCAGACGTGAAAGTCGACTATTGCTACAATGCTCATACTACGCCTAACGCCCCTTGAAACAGTTTTCTCCAGTTAACAACCCGGTTTGTTTCTGCCTTGCACAATCTTAACGCGTCCTAGATGACAGTGGCTACTGTGTTAAGCACACATGTGTTATGCTGCTTCTCCTAGGAGTTCACACGTAGCTTCGAGTCGGTGCAGAAGATCGAGACGGGTTTGGCACCCCTATTGAAGACTTCTCTTTGAGCTCAGAAATTATCGTCAACCTCAAGCTCGTAATACCGAATCGGCACAAAGACATCCCAGAAGCACTCGTCTCTGAACTTGACCACCTTGTCATGTACCTTGATCCAGTATTCGGGATCCTCGATTTCAACTCTCAAAACAAGGGCGTTCATTTGCAGCGGGAGTCCGACCGTATATGTCATCATCTCTAGTGAACACCACGCGCCGATGGGCGACCTTCTGGGATCATCGCGCATTTTTCTGAATCGTTCGTCGAGGGATGTTGATGTGGCGTCTGATCTGCATATTCTACTGCATGCATGATTGTCACCGTTGAAGTGAAGTCCGAGGCGCAGGTCGATGGGGTGTTCGTATGGGGGCTGACGGGAGTCGAAAAGGGATACTCGGCGTTGAATCATTGGAGTAGAGGATGTCGTTTTTGAATCAGTCTTCGGTGACGTCTTCTCGTCATCCTGGATGACTGGTACGGTAGCGGATGTTCTACGCTTCATCATAATGGATAGCTGGGGATTCGAAGTTGAGAGATGTAGGATGAAGGTGTTCAATTCGTTGACACTTGCGGTTCTTTCTTCTTCAAGAATATTGGTGATGGAGATTCTACTAGAATTGGCACTCTACGGGATGCGATGACTCAAGCTTCATTCGGTTTTGGGCACGCGGAAGCGACATCTCTTGTGTGACTGCCCAGTTCGCTCAAAGTGTCGCTTGTAAAAAGAATAACTTAGTCTTCACAAAAAAGATTCACTTATTGCTATACCACCGCAAGTGACGTTCTCACGAACACCCGAACTTTATCAGAAGTGAAACTGCCATCATCGTGACTTTCAGTCTGTTTGCGGCAGCATATCGCTTCATTTTAACACATACCGCCGGCCACAGATATATGAGAACAACTTGCGCGACCACTTTACGGTGACTCCTTCAGGGTCTCCACAATCATCAGTCACTTCCTCGGTTTTCTCATTTTCACTCCCGTGGGCACGATTGTTGACTTTTACAACTTTCAGCACTTTGTGTCCCCGAATTCTGTTTTTCCCCTTCAAGAACATAACGATCCACTTCACCTTCACAGTCTTCACCACAACTTTCGCCAGAAGATTGACCACAACGTTCACCGTTCGAAGTATCACGCAAATACATCGTCTGGTACTCCAACTGTCAAACACTACACCAGATTCAAATCACCATCCCCATCAGACTAAAATCATCATCGCCAACACCAACAACAACCCCCTTCTTCCAAAAGATCTCACCGACATGGGAGCCAATCAGTCTTACGGCACGGATTGCATGGAACCCACTCGATCCAGCACTTTCAGCGTAACCACAGAAAGCTCCCAAGATACTCCTTCCTGCACAACCTCCATCGAAAGCTTTGAGACCGTCGTCAAGCCCACCACAAAGCCCGTCAACAAGATGGTCATCTTTGATCCCAACCAGCCACCTTACGACGAAAATCCACTCGATCTGTCTCTCGGACTTCATTTCTCAAAACTCAACGGTCGGGAGATTGGAGACTTTGACGATACATGGAAAGAGGATGGTGTAGAGAGATGGAGCGAAGAAGACCGCGCAGACCCCAACTTCGACGTCCGCGAAACAATCTGCTACAAGACTCTTGCCGAAAGAGAGTCGATCAGCAGTTTCAACAAGATGCAAAAGACCCCGGAAGCTGAGTCTATCTCGAAATCGGGATGGCTTGGACTGTTTTGTCTGCAAGCTCTGCCGCTCTACTCCAATCCTCAGAGACCGTATCTTGCCATAGGTGTGAAGGAACTGGGAAACTGGATTGGTGTTCATGATCAAGTCGTGCAGTTGAGAGATGCATGGCTTCCGGGAATGCCCATCAGATACTTCATCGACAAGCCTGAGGAGGAGCATGATATGTATATGAATTTCCATGTCTATAACGACACTGGCTTCTTCGACTGACATTTCCACATCAACCAAGATTCTCCGTCATTCCTGGCGCATGTGGAAAACACATCCCAACAACCACTTTTCTCCACCTTTTACTCCATACTCGAAAGCTTTGGATAGTTTGCGGCCCAGGAAATGAGACTGCTCCGACATGCAAGACTTGAGTGCGAGCAACAAAATCGAGCGGATGATCTGTATCTGAATCTCGAGCTGTTTTACGACTCTTGAGCTCTTCGAAACTTGTGGTAAGAGATCAACGAGAGATCAACACAGCACCTTCTTGCAATTCGGGCTATCCTTGAGTTTGCGAGTACTTTGATTGCTTGGGGGGGAGAAAGAGAGAAGCCAGGGTAATAACTTCCAAAAGACAAACAAAGAAGAAGGACAAAACCCCGTACCAAGAGTTCTCAACGTCTTCCTTGTCAACATCAACGGACATTGGAAAGCTCGCGGTTAGTGAAGGGAGAAAGGAAGATAAAAATCAGCAGAAATGAACAAAATACCAATGAACAATGCATTCTTCCGCATATTGTTTCTATCATCAGCACTCCCATCCCTTCACTTTTCCATCCCCTTCCATCAGCCATCCATCAAACCATCATCCCCCCCACTCACTCCTCCCAAACAACACAAGTAACATTCCCCCCTCCCACCCACCTAGCCACCGGCTTCCCCACCGTCCCCAACGCCACATCCCTCTCAAAAACCACAACACTCCTATCATATTGCATGCCCACCGCCAGCAAATCACCAAATTTATTCAAGGAGAAATGGCGGGGGAACATTCCTCCCGAAGGCCAGAGTTGTATGTGTTTCAGGGTGCCGTCTTTTTGGAGGGAGAAGGTTGAGAGGGAGTCGGAGGGGATGGAGGTGGTGTGGTTGTGGGGGATGGATGAGGGGGAGGGGATGTGGAAGGAGGTGTTGTTGCGGTTGGAGATTATTAGGAAGCGGTTGTCTGGCTGTGTTTTGTGGTGTTAGTAAAGAAATGGCAGGAATGATAGGGATGATGAAGACAAGGGTAGTAAAAAAGCAAACTTACAGTAACAGCAATTTCCGCCGCCGCATTTCCCTCAGGAACAACAAGATCACCATACGTGCTCGTTTCAAACACTTGTTTAAACCCCATACCACCAATTTTCGGATAAGAGACTCTGAACGACGTAACCGTATTCGCCAATTCGGAAACCAAAAACATAAATGTGGTTGCTTGGGTCCCCACCACACCATACGGTTGATAGAAAACCACATGTCTAGGTCCACTACCAGGAAGCACCGCAAATGGTTTCTCAGCAACAAGATCTCCAGATCCCGCATCGATGGAAAAAATCCTGATCAAGTCGGCGCCTAGATCGGGAACAACGATGAAGTTTCCAGTAGGATCCAGCACGGCTTCATGTTCATGAGGGGCATCCTGTCTTTCAGCATTAGGACCGGGTTTTGTCAAATTGAAGAAAATATCCTGTTGGAAGTCGAATGCAGCGGTGTGGTTGGCGTCCAAATTCCAAGTACTGAGTGCACTGCCTGAATAATGTGCGAGAGCAATTGATCTCTTTTCTGCAGGGTTGCCGTAGATGACGCCACTGACCGGACCGCTGATGGTTTGTTCGCGGTGGATTTTGTGGAGGTGGCCCGAGGAGTTTATGGTGAAGGAGGTTAGGGAGCCGTTAGTGACTTCGAGGCCTTCATCGAGGCAGTAGAGGGTATTGTGATTGGTGTCCAGAGTCAACCATGAAGGGTTAGGCGCACAGCCCGCGTTGGCGGAGGTCTTGGTCAAAGAATAGTGACCGCCATGTTCAGTCAACTCGAGCGTGGAGATGTTGCCAGAGTAGTCGGAAACAAAGAGGTTGGTAGCGGCAGTGAAGCTCGCAGCAACACAAAGCTGAAACGCACAACGGACGAGCATTGTCGAGAGATATTATGGAAAAGAAAGTGATGGACAGGACAAGAGAAAATAAAACAAGAGGCAGTGTCACCTACTTATGTACAGTACTTATATTGACCCACATCCATGCAGGCACATGCTTGCTCACCTTTCCTGAATCTGGGGCGCTTACAGGTAAACTAGCAAGCTTACGCATAGTGCTGTGGACATGATGCACTCAGCCGCCTGTAACAAGACATGAGTGATGATGCCGAAGATCGCATGGAACACAAGGCGGAGGGAGGTCGGAGCGGGGTGACAGGCAACCGACCCGGCTGGTGGGGACGTGCTTGGCGCGGAATGATGATCAGCAACCATGCCAGCGACTTCGCACGAGCCAGTGACATGATGGTCAAAGCAAGCGACGCGTCAAGAAAGAGGGCAGTGTACGGAGCAGAAGACATGGAAACGTGGTGTGGTTTGGATTGGATACAGGAATGGATTTTGGTTCTAGGACCGAGATGTTCTGTGGTAATCGGGCCATCTCTTCCTCAACAACGGCTTAAGGCGTCGATACCAAGACGACAAGACCGTGAAAGTTCCTTAAATGGCCTTCTTGCTCTGGTCTCTCAGCTGAGCAGTTGACTGTCTGTCATTTCCTCTCGACTCGAGGTCGGCAGCCCAAAGAGCAGCACCAGTGGTGTTGGTGAAGGCGAAGAAGACACCAGCAATAGGGACAAGCTCCAACAGAGTAGCAACAGTACCGAAACCAGTGTATGCGCCCTGTCTCTTCTCAACCCACTCATCCTGACGAGCCTTGTTCATGCCCTTGAGTTGGAAGTATCTAGAGTGAGCAGCAGGACCAGCGCGCTTGCCCTGGAGGAGGATGAACATGACTGTACCAACAACGGGGATGAAGTTGAGAGGCAGATACATGACGTATCTGATGATGGCGCTGGGTGCGAACTTGGCGAACGGCTTCTTAACGAGTTTACCAAGACGGCCAATAGCATCACCACCACGACCGACCTTGCGCTCCTTTGAGACGAGCTCGGCCTCGCCCTTAGCGACCAGAGTACCGTCAAAGGTGTCAATCAAGCTCTCCTCGACGAGGAAGGTCTTGGCGAGGGTGTTGAAGATGGTGCTGCTCTCGTTCAGGCACAGCAGGGCGGCATTGATAGCGGCGAGAGGGCCGTTGAAGACGGCAAGTACGGCGGCTTGAGGAAGGTAGCCGAATACGAAGACACCGGCGAGGGTGCTGATGCCGAGCAAGAGGGTGGGGATGAGTTTGGATGCGAGAGGCTTCCAAAGGTCGCGGTGAGCGAGGAAGTAGGCGATGCCCTATACGACTGTTAGTACTGTGAGGATGAGCGCATGGGGAAGGAAGTCCATACCCTGATGGGGTACAGGTAGGCTCCTGACTGAGCAGCATCGCTTGCCAGGTTGGCGACTCTCTGTGCCTCCTCACGGACGGTATCCTTGACCTTGTCTTGAGCGGTCATGTTTTCTGTCGGGTTGTGTTTGTTGTAGGGAAGAACAGACGGCGCAGAAGCTGCTGGTTTTGTTGTCGCGCAAAGGTTTGGCGTGGTGTCCTCTGACCAAAATAAAACGTCACTGATGTCATGGCTGAACTCGATGCGGGGAGCTGCCACAGCTTCCAAGATCCACTTGCAGTTGTCTTCTCCTTTTCTTCAGATGAATATTCCGCATAGCGAATTGATGCAAGCAATATGTGTCTGATCATGCATAATATAATTTCTCGATCTATCATCTCCCCTCAAAGCCATACCGCTGTAGCAGCAGCCAGAGTCTTGCCATCCTCACCCACTAATTGCCTTCTCGCAACCTCGACAATCTTGTTTCCATCAAAAGCCAAAACAAACACGAAACCTTCTTGACTGTCCGTCATAGCCAAATACTCGACTCCCTCCTGACCATCGACCATAGGTGCAGGTTCGACAGCATTGGCGATACCTCCGCTCGTCGCCGTTTCGAAGATATCGAGTGCCTCTCCTTTCAATCTCCCATTTTCATCCAATGCAAAGACTGCAACATAGCCTTTTGTCTCCTTTTCCAATCCTCTTGTCGATGCGTAAAGATATCTTGGTGACCCAGGGACCGGTCTGCTTAACCGTACTTCGTCCGCCCAATACTTCTTCTCGTCCTTGTCATCCGGAATTATCCTGGCACCAGATATCAGATTCAAATCTCCTGTTTCCGAAATCGACAAAGCGTCCACATAACAGCTATGTTCCTCGACCGAATATAGGATCCTTCCGTTGGGGTGTGGCCAAGTATGTCTAGGTCCATCATTTCCTCTACTCGCAATCCACTTCTTGCGGTTCTCCAGTTTTCCTTCATTGCCAGTGACCGAGTATGACCAGACACAATTGTGACCGATATCCGCAATGTAGATGACCTTCCCGTCAGGAGAGAGATCAATCGAGTGGGAACCATGGCGAAGGCCGCCAAAATCTCCATGTGCGACGCCATTTCTAGCTCCGTCGTTTTCATTGCCTTGATCCCTGAATTCTAGGTTTTGAAGCAGAGAACCAATACTGCCGTCCTTCTTGATAGAGAAGACTTCGCCGGTAGGACCACCTGCTGAGTAGAGCGTCGTTTCTGAACAGCAGACATACCCACTCATTGCACGTACTGGTGCTGAGTTAAGGGGTATCAATGTGTGGTCATCTTCAATGCGGTAGGAGGCTACTGCTGGGGGTGATGCCCAGACAGTGGTGTAGAGGTGTTTTTTGTCTGACGACAGTGAGAGCCAGGAGTGCCCGCCTATGGCTTCGGAAGTGCTCTTGATCTCCAATTTACACTTTTTGGCATCTTTGGCTGGGGTAAAGCGAAGTGTGAAGAGTTTGGATGTATAAAAAGTGCCGACTAGAAAATCCATGTTTACATCCAAATTCCAGATTCAGGTTGTATGGTCTACTTCCGATGAGGTGAGAAAGACGATGAAAGCAAGAAGGTGTAAATCGCTTTTGAAGAATGGCGTAGGGACGTTTTTGTCAAAAAAGTGATGGCATGGCTTTCGGAAGTGGGCATCTGGCCGAAAAGTGCATCTTCCGAAGAAGTGCCCCTCTCCGAACGTTTGGGGCTGGACTCGGCTTTGCAGTCGTTACAGTTCAGGCAAAATATTTTGCCGATGTTGAATCATCAGATCTGATAACGACTATTGATGACTTCGAGCATCTTCACGGCAGGACTGGCACCGATGAGTGCAGAGTCCACCTTGGGCATTGGTTTGCCCATTTTTCCGCCTCGAATATCGCCTCGCTCGCAAAATCACACTTTTCGAGTGCGGTCGAAGGATTCGTTGCTAACAAGATCGTCCCGAGAAAGGCACCGCGAGAGTGGGCAGTACACCTGATCATGGCATCTCTTCCGAAACTTATGGTTCGAAGCATTGAAGCTTTCAGATCACATGTTTTGATATGGCAGCCCAGAATGTAGATCGCCATGCCACATGGACATGTTCCTGGCTCGATCTTGTTCATCAGTCGCTGGTACCAGCATGTCTTCTGATGTTTCTCAGTTTGCGGGCTTCTTTGTCGGCTCTCCTGGCCTGATTCATGCTGCCGCCCATACTGGACTCTTCGAAGATTCTCTTTTGTAGACCGCCTTCGGAAACTTGGTCGAGGAGAAAGCGGCCCCAGAGACCGTTTCTCCAGCGTTGTATTATCCACAAAGCAACGGCCTCGGTATCTGGTTCACCACCTTTTTGCAGACGACCAGTCTTATGTGCAATGGCATTGAGCAGTTCGATGATGTCGTTCGTAGGTGGACAGTATTCCTTGTAGAGGGTGGGATCGATCAGGTTGACACGATAGAGGAGATAGTCGGCAAGAGTGGCAGGTGGGATAATGGTGTCTTTGACATTGCCGCACAGGGCAAGCTTCAGCATGGCTTCGGCATCGGGGACGTAGGGTATAAAGACACCAGGAGTATCGAGCAAGTATACGCCCTCTCCATCTTCGGTGCTGTCGATGATCTTGACGCTTGTTGAAATCTTGCGCGTGACACCTGGCTGAGCGCCTGTGTGTGCCGCTTTCCCCTTTCCGACTCCTTCTTTTCGCAGAGCGTTGAGCAGCGAAGATTTTCCAACATTGGGCATGCCAACGACCATGATGCGCGAACCGGTCAAGGACGTGCTGTTCTCGAAGTAGCGACGAGCGAAGGCTAGGACTTTGCGAATGTCCTTCTTGTCTTTGTGGTCGGAGAAGAGGACCTCGGAGGGTTTGTGCCATTTGCGAATGATGTTCTCTCTCTGTTTAGAAGGTCAGAAGAAGGCGGGCAGGAGGCCAGAGGGAAACGAAACTCACCTCCTTGTCGGCAGGCTTGTTGTTGCTACCCAAGTCGCGCTTGGTATAGATGATGATGCGCTCGCGACCTGCCAGACTCTGTTCGAACAACGGGTTACGTGAGGTTAGTGGGACTCTGTAATCACGGCACTCGACAATCAGGTCGATTTGCGACAATAGCGTGTTCATCTTGGACAGACCCGCAGCATGATGACCCAGGAAGTATGACCTAGGGAGAGACTCTACAGGCGGGAATACCGCTCGCGCTTTGAATATCGATACCATTGTTGCCATTTGGGTAGTTCTTTCCTTGGGCGGCTTCGAGACTTTCTGTTGTTTGCCCAGGGTCCAGAAATGTTTCCGGAGAAGCTTGGACCGAGCTTGCCATGACGTTGCCGAAAACAAAGACAGCCTTCCCATCTCGCATCATCCTCTATAACACAACATACCGGCATCAATGATAAGCATGAGTGTGCCATTGATACCCAATTCTAGAGCATCGGTAGCACATGGAGTTTTCTGGTCATCTTCCCTTCGAGACCCTTGATCACGCTTATTTAGCGACGTGTTGCACCGGTAACACGCTCAATACCTGAGTATATATACCATGTCTTTTGCACATTGGATGCCATCTTCTCCTCCACAAGACACCGTGCAGGAGAAGGATTTGGAAAATATGCATAAATCATCTCTACGCTTGTCATTCTTGCCACCCATATTCATCTCGGAGTCTCACTTCAAGGACATCAATGAGCTGCACCGCCTCGAAGATGATCTTGTCGAGGCTGGAGGTCTATTGTCTTACAATCTTCACGAGGCAAAGATTGTTCTGACCAGAGTCCTCAACAAGAAACGCATCACAATGGATCTACGGTCCAAAGACTGCTACACGGACGAAGTCCTCGTTGTCAAAGATGTCTGTGCAGCGGATACTGTTACAGACCCCGCAGCCGGGCACAAAGCAAAGAAAGGGAAGCTTGCAGAGGGATATGAGGATGGAAAGAAAGAGACTGAAGAATCCATCCTCCACGAAGTCAGCACCGACTCGGAAACCGAAGACGAGCATAAGCCAAGAATCAAGTCTGCCAAACGCAAGCGTGTTGGTTCTCCGGTCGAGCAAGATCCGAACAAAGCATACTTTTCCAACCCGTACATCAAGGTCTTGAAGTGGGAATGGTTTACTGATTCTCAGAAACAAGACCGTGTTCTGCCTATCGAGCCATACTTGCTCTACCAAGGACGGATTATTGACAAGCCTGAGGATCCAAAGACACCAGGCAAAGGGTCCAGCTTTACTGCCAGGACCAAAACACCACAATCAATCCTGGAGAGGGCTAGAGCGGATGCTGAGAACGACACTTCTTCACCGGTACAACAGCGTAGCAATCGCAAACTCGGCCAGATAGGCGGCGGCAGAGTTTCTGCGCCATTCCAAACTACGCCACACTCCAAGAGAGCCGCTCTTTTACATCAGACGACCTCGGAGCATGATCTAGGCCAATCGTCCGACCTTCCTGAGATGCCCCCTTGGGTCCAGAACGACGTCAAGTATGCGTGCCAGCGCTTAACACCCGCTGATCCACCCAACGCAGCCTTCATCGCTCAGCTTGATAAGATCAAGTTAGCGCGATTGCTCACCGGTGATGAGATTGGCGTAAGAGCATACAGCACCAGCATCGCAGCTCTAGCCGCCTATCCTCACAAACTCAGTACTGGTCGTGAGATCCTACTCCTACCCGGCTGTGACGCCAAAATCGCAAACCTCTATGTCGAATTTGCAAACTACGGCAAGATCCAAGAAGCCGAAGACGCCGAAAACAACGAAGAGCTCAAGGTGCAAAAACTCTTCTACAACATCTGGGGCGTAGGCGCCACAACAGCAAGAGACTTTTACAAAGAAAAAGGTTGGAGAGACCTCGACGATGTGGTAGAATATGGCTGGCAAACCCTCACCCGCGTCCAACAAATCGGAGTGAAATACTACGACGAATTCCTTCTCCCCATCCCTCGCTCTGAAGTCGAAGATATCGCCGCTACAATCCACAAACATGCTGTCAAGCTCCGTGACGCCGGGATTCAGAGTCTAGTCGTCGGCGGCTATAGACGAGGTAAAGAACACTGCGGCGATGTCGATATCATTCTCTCTCACCCTGACGAGAGCAAGACTTTAAACATCATCACCGATATAGTAGCGAGTCTGGAACAAGAATCTTGGATAACGCATACCCTCCTCATCAGCACAAAAACCAGCGATCGCGGACAACAAACCCTAGCCTTGAATTCCTCATCCACCCACGGCCACGGTTTCGACAGCCTAGATAAAGCCCTAGTGGTCTGGCAAAATCCCCACTATACCCCCTCTACTTCTAATCCCTCCGACTCGAAAACCAAAAACACAAATCCCCACCGTAGAGTTGATATCATCATTTCGCCGTGGAAGACCGTGGGATGTGCTGTCATGGGATGGTCTGGAGGCACGACATTTCAACGCGATTTACGTCGTTACGTCCGCCAAACTTATGATTACAAATTCGATTCTTCGGGGGTGAGGGATAGGAAGACGGGGGATGTTGTTGATGTTGACGGTGAGGCTGGGACTATGGAGCAGGCGGAGAGGAATGTTTTTGGGGCGTTGGGGTTGGAGTTTAGGGAGCCTTGGGAGAGGTGTACTGGTTGAAATTTGTGCGAGGGGACTTGGGAGATCTGATACGTCAGGATCATGGAGGAGTCTGGGTTGGAAATCTTTATCATCTCGTGATCTTTTTGAAGTGCGGATTTGGGAAGAAACACCAATAGATTTTCCTCGATTGAATGACAACTTTCGCATCCATTTTCCAACCCTTTTCCATAAACACTGAATGAACGCTGGAATAGATCTTTCATCCGTCGTGTAGAAATAGTATTTCGTGGTTTCCAGCTACTGTTCTCGTCTGCATTAAGCGCCTTTCAAAAGCAATTCGTGTACATAAACCCCATGCCATTGCCATATGCGTGTCTCGTATAAACCCCCCCATCAACCCCTTTCGCAATGCCTTGCAACCCATCAAATCATAAACGTGATGTCGACTCCTAAGCTGACTCTGCAATGACCAATATGTCCTTCACCTCTCTAACAACCCCATCGAACTCCGGGCCTACGAGCACCGATTGGAATCCCTCATCATCGGTCTGGGAGCACCTAGAGCTATTCTACGGCCTGTAGATGTCGACTGCTCCACTAATGTTGTCGACGCGGGTCTCCATGCCGTCAAGTCTGCTACGAAGTGTCCTAACTTCACGCTGGAGTTTGTCGACCAGATTGAACAGATTGTTCATGTCGCGAGCAGACACCTCATAGCGGTCGTGATTCTGATATCTGTCGTCGTTTCTTGAATCGTGGGAATCGTAATACTGGCGAGCGTCCATTTCGTGCCGAGCAGAGCGTGCGCTGTCGCCATTCGCGCCGTTTCGTTCCCTCTCTGGAATAGAGCCTGGCACATTGACCGGAGAATAATGGCGTCCGTTGACTGAAGGAGGAGCGTCGAAAGTAGGGCGCGACGGAGTGGCGTTCGAGAGTCTGCCGTCTCCTGAGAAACCACCGCTGTAGCTGGAAAGGCGTGGACGCTTGGCGGCAAGCTCAGCTGGGGGACTGCGGGAATCTTCATCATCCATATCATCGCGCTTGCGGGCACTGCCAACCTTGAGAAGCGGAAAGCCGGTTCGTTGTTGCTGAGAGATTGTCAGTATTGGTTCATGTGTACGAGCAAATAGTATCAAATGAAGCTGCAAGCACATCGCACTAGCACCGAACTCTCTCAGGGTGGCCGTAGAGCGCTGAAAAGGGCTGTCGCAAGGCACGATGTTCTTGAGAAGCCTGGCCGTGTCCAGTGAGAGCGCTGGAGTAGCTGCTCTCGGTGAACGTCTTTCATATCTCGAGCGCACTGTGCCTTTTGATGGTGCATCTCCACGAGTACAGTGCCACTGAGATGTCTGTGCTTCTGTGCTTGAGCTTAATTGGTGATGGCTTACATGTGATTCTCTGGCTTCTCTAGCATGCGAGCAGCCACTCTGCGTGTACGAGCACCGAACACATCCAGTTTTGTCGTGGCTATTCGGCCGCGTCATGCACGCTCTGTTCTGTCGCTCGCACGTATCACATCTAGGATTACGTTCCGTGCCATAGCGCATACCCTTGGAAGCCCTGGCATGTCGTGGGTTTTCCATGTCAAGCAGGTTCCACCAGTAATCGTGTCTCTCAATGTCAAAATCGCCGTCATAGCGGGGAGGCTCCGGTTCAGCGTCGCCGCCTGTGAGCAGCTCGTCGATGTCGGACTGGGCATCTGCGTCTGCTGAGGCGGTATGGCTTCCATTAGAGAGATCCGCATCGACTTTCGCTTCGGGCTTCGAAACTTCAGGTTCGTCCGAACGTTCAATGATTTGAGGTTTCGCTTCCTTCGCATTGGCGACCGACCACGTGGGGACCTGAGGGCGGCTTTCACCGTTTCCATTCATCTCAGTGCCAGGATTTATTTCGCGAGCACCGGTATAGACATCAGCCATTTTGTGCTGTACCGGTCCGGCTCCTAGCAATTCCTTTGGTTGTGTTTCGTGGGAAGCTGGCAATAAATCAGCTTCGGACTCTGGATACTGGGCGGCGGCGGCTTACCGGACAAAGTAAAGTTACGACGGTCGTCCGACGGCGGATTCGAGAATGCTTCCATTTATCGATGAAGTTATGATTGTCGTCAACAAAGTTAGGAGGATGTGAACAAGCAGGAGAGTCAAAGGGGGCGACGAGAGAAAGAAGCGGCGGGCGCGATTTTGAAGGCAGCCACTCACTGGCGGCCCGGTCGCGAGCGGCTTGTCGCCCTTTCCCGGCTTGCCGTGCACCTGCAACAAGAGGTTTCTCGATCATCTTGCTACCTAGCTACCCGTTGCTTCTTTCTGCCTTCGGACAATTCCATCTTGGCTACTGGCTCTTTCCTCCGTTGATCTCGATCGCTTGTCTCATTCTCGAATCGTAGGACTCAGGAATCCGAAAAGATGTCTTCCTGCTGTTTGGTGGCGCGTACGTACGGCCGACGTTAGCTGCATCCGTTCCCGAAGAGGACCAGGTGTGCCCGCCCTTGGCGCTTCTGTCAAGGCAAAACCAGGCAAGACCTCGCACATGTCTCTTTCCGGGACTCCCGTCGTGTTTACCTATCATCGTGCTTTGGATGGTCGCGTCTTTCCCCTCGCTTTGGTCAAGGCGGTGAGACGAGCCGCTGTCGGCGACGCTCTCCACACAAATCTCAATCGTCCCGTCCGACACCGACCGACCGGCATCAAGGATTCAATCATGTCGCAGGACGGGAAATACTTTACAAGCTCCTGATTTTGGCATGCCTTTGACGGCGGCTACATCTATGTTCTGCGATGCGCTCCAGACACTCGAGCTGCGTTGGCGCAAAATGTCGAGACAGGTTTGTCCAAACCTTTCATGCAACCGCGCGAAGCCCGACAAGCCCGGTTGTCTGGGAAGCGTCTACGAGTTGGGTCGGAGCAGAGTACCAAATCCCCGACTCCCTTGCGACAAGATTGCAGTGTGCCCAACAGCCCTGCCACACACAGGAAAGTGTCGAAATACGCTCGACGTAATTGTCCGGGGTCTAGAATGGTTATGCGACGACGTCCGGCGCCATCTCAGCGTGGTGCCCTCATCCCCATCGCCCAGTCCATACTTGAGTACTCAAAGTGTCTGGTATGGCTGTGAGTTTGGATTTTGGTATTTTGCAGGGCAGCCGTACGTCTGTAAAGGTCTCCGTCTGAGCGCTCCAGATTTGTCTCTGGTTCCGGTGCGCTGTCATGGTCGTCGCCGCCAGTTTGAGTGCACAGAAGCTCTTGCATCTCGATTTCGTCTTCTGGTCTAGGCGTGTCTCTACCACCATCCGTCTTGAAGGTAAAGAGACTCACGACACGAGAGGATGCGAAGGAGAACATCGACCAGTCTGGAAGCAGTGCTTTCTTGCTAGGAGATGGGCTCGATCTTCTGGGGATGGTCATTGTGAATCGTGTGGTCGGAGGTATTGCTCGATTTCTTGGATTATTCACTGCTTCTGGAGAATTTATGTAAAAGGTATGCAGCGAGCTTCTATAGAGTTTTCTTTTCACCCCACAGCACGTTGTGGCTGACGACTCATCCTGTCCTCAAACTTGCTCAAATCATCATGCATCATTCGCACACGCAACAACATCTGGGGAGTCATCAAGCTTTCACCTCCGAGTCGAGTCTCATTGGAGAACCCTTCTCCACATCACCACGACCTGCTTTTCCTTCCACGAGCTGCTCCTTCTCCACCCGACGTAGCAACATTCCAGGATTCAATACTGCTAGAACACCCATAGCAATGAGCATTGGCGCCGCATCCAATCCAATGACATAGCCTTGCTGGGTAATGAGTGGTCCCCTCCACCCTTGACACAACTCGATGGATCGATAGAAGCCTCTCAGGTTCATCATGGTGGTACTGATGACAATAGCAATACAACTCAAAAGAAGCGATCGATTTGCCTTGATCTGTGATGCGCCTCGCGGAAAGACGATACACAGAAATCCGGCGAAGATCATGCCAGAGACCAGTTGCGCGATGATACCAATGACCATTACCGTTGTGCCAGGCGCGGTGCTGGTACCTTGATCGAAAGCTGCACCAGCCAATCCACCACCAATGGCTTGCAGACTCAAGCACACACAATCAACACTGAAGATGACCAACAAGTAAAGCTTTGGAGGCACAGGCGAGACCTCTCTGCCCAAAATCTTCACGATCATCCACAGCGCAATGTAAACACCAGATTGCGTATATGCAGGACCCATGATCAGAGTCGCAATCTGCATGGTGTTGATCTCGTCCGAGAATGTACAGGTATGCGCAACTGTACGACCGATCCATCCTAGAAGTTCGAGCCCGGCTCCGCAGCTGAAGAATAGGCCCATCCACCAGCATCGTGTGCGAAAGGTTTGGTATATGTTTGCAAAGGTGTAGAGGCCGAAGCAGATGCTGAAGAAGATTCCGACGCCGAGCGATGGTCGGTATCCATAGCTTGATGCTAACGCGTATTTTTCGTAAGATGCGCAAGGTGGAATGTATGGCGGGGGAGTAGACATCTTGCTCGAATTCCCAAGGTGCGACGGTGAGACCGGTCAAATGTGTAGATGAGATGATTGATATATCCAGAAAACAAACAGCACCTACCTACATCCTTATATATGCATTTGCGACACTTCTTACAAAGACGAACTTTCCTCCGAGATGCGTCACCATATTCCTTGTATACAACCCATTTTGGACCTCGCAGTGCGAGAAGGATGCAAGTCGCAGTCGGGGCCGAAAAGGGAATAGCGTCTTCGAAAGCCAAAAATCAAAGGATTACTCGTTGCCTAGTTTTTATACAGCCAAGCTGTCGCAGCACGTGTGGAATAGACTTCCAGAAGGATGCAAGATGTGAGACACTATTATTGCAATTTCCTGATCGATGGTCTATAGATCTCAATAATACTCGTACATAACGTCTGCTGGCGGCGCGAGATTCGTTCGTCATCCATCGACTCCTTGAGATGCAGCAGCAGCACGTCCATGCCACGTAGATCTTTCACCTTTTCATAGGCTACTTTGGTTCTCTTATGTTAGTACCACCCAGCATACAATACTCATATCACAGGTTGAAAGCGTGAGATGGCTGGTGTCGCGACAGAAATCACGATTCACGATCGCATCTCACGAGTGTCGTCATGACCGTTCTGTCGATCATTTCCTTTTTCGTCTCGACTTTGCGAGCGCGAGCTGAGTTCCTCCGACTTCAAGTCATTCTTTTTCTGCTCCTTGCTTCTTATCATTTTGAAGCCTAGAGATCGCGACTTGAACTCCGGACGGACAATATGCCAACCTATGGAAATAGACACAGTCGCTCGTTCTTCAGCGCGCGCTTAAGATCATTGAGATATGATTTGCCAACTGTACAACACGTCCCTGGCAGAGCTCGCGAAAAGCCCAAACCAACCTTCCAAGATCGAGCCGTACAACAAGTCACTAAGGAGATGCAGTGGGAAGCAAATGCCTATGCACCTTTCCGTGCCTGCTATATGACCGCTTAAAAACTTCTGGTCTTGTTGCAGTGATTGATTGATCATTTAGAGGAGATTGGAGACGCAATGTTATGCAGTTTATCATTGTCTATCTTCTTTCTTCATACAGTCGTAATCGCTTGATCCTCTAAGCCTTCATCATCTCAATGAACTTTTCGGCCAGAGGGTTGGCAGCAAGAGGGTTTCCACCACTGATGACCTCCCTATCGACAGTGATGTAACCAAGCTTCTCGCCAATACCCTCAATCATATTGGCACCGTTCTCGCGCAACGTGCCTTCGACCTTGGGGATCTCAGCTCCGAGCATCGTCTCCATCATGGCTTCCTCCATATCAGACCAGGAAGTGAGCTTGTAGCCGGCGTACAAGAACTTGCCACTCGATGCCTTGGTGGAAAGGAAAGCGTACGGTCCGTGGCAGATAGTGGCAGTAGGCTTCTGCTTGCCGTGGAAGTGCTCAAGGATACGACCCAACTCCTTGTTGTCGCTAAGATCAGTCAGGGGAGCATGACCACCTGGGATGAGCACGCCGCGGAATGACTCCAACTCCTGATCACTGATATCCCTGAACTTTCTGGGCGAAGAAAAGCCATTCTCCTTCTTCATGCGCTCAAGCAACTCATTCTCGCGGCGGCGCTCGTAGAAGTTTCCGGCAAAGGCAAGGAGGGTTTCGCTGTTGGGGTCGGGGACGGGCTCTTTGCCTTCAGGTGTGGCAAAAGTGACTTCGTAGCCGGCATCCAGGAGTTTTTGGAGGGGCTTCGCAAGTTCCATGAGGAAGAAGCCGGAGGGTTGTGAAACGATCTTGCCGGCGTCCGCGCCGGAAGTCTTCTTCATGTCGAAGTGATCGGCATCCGAGAGGATGATGAGGACCTTTTGTGATGATGACATGGTTGTTGATTCGATACGTTTGTGTTTGAATTGTGAAAGATTGAGAAAGGTCTGTCTGCTCGATGGAGAAATAGGATGAAGAGAAAAAATGCTGATGAGGATGATGTTTTGTACCATGATGTTCGGCCAATGTCCACGGAAGTCACTATGACGTCGGACCCATTCTGAACAAACATGTCCAATTTTCACGTGCTATGCACTTCGAGTCAAGACATACTGACATCTCGTACTCGCAGACCTATCACGGAGCTTTTGGCTAAGACCATTGCTTCGCTGGATAGATTGGTCATTGTCCTCCCCCGCTCATACTCGGGACGTTTGTCTCAAGCCACATCGACTTTAGTCGGCTTGCACTCCAGATTTACGTGAACCGGCTCGTGGCGCACAAGCGGCTTGCGATAATTTTGGATACGCGAAAGGCTTCTTTGTATCCAAAAGATATCGCAAACCCGTCAAAACTGCTACAAAGAGGTGTTGTCGTGTCGAAAGGCGAACGAAGAGCAGGAACAGGGTTATGCTGATTGCAAGATGGAATCGCCGGAGAAACTTCGGCCGACTATCAGAATCAAGACGCGTCGCGGTTTTGTCACAACTCAAACTCATTCGATACACACAGTTCCGTATTGTCGTCCGTTCAAGACTGTCAGAGCTGTTGAGCCTAGAGACATCGCGAGGAACAGGTGGCAAGAGATGTAATATGTACTATCCAGCTTCTAAAGGCTAACTGGCTAAAACGTTGACTTCGAACGAGAGCAGAAGACGAAGTTAACATTAAAAGCTTCATCCAACATGTCTGCTAGAGCATCTCGTCGAACAATTCCCGAGAGCTAGTGCCTTCAAGCATCTACAGTCCGTCCTTCAGATACACTGCATCATGTTCTTCTGCTTAGAGATAAGTAGAATCGACCCACCATTCCTTCTTGTACTGCTTTCCCAGTAATGTTTCAAGTTTTATTGGTGCTGTCAGCTCCGTGCTGAAATTAGCCCTCGGACCAACAGCTCCCGGCCCTTTGTTCTTGTACTCTCCGTAGTAGAGGTTGGCCAGGCTTTGTACAGCATCCCAACGCTCCCACCCGACAGACTTGACAACGTCTCCTAAGTACGACCTCTGGAATACGACTCGGGAAAATTGGCGCCATGGTCTTCCGAGAACGGTAGATGCGACTCCGCTGGTTCCATTGACGTGGCATTGGTTGAAGACGTAGAATGAAGTGTTGTTCTCCGCGTCTCTACCATTGGCCGTGATGAATCCAGGTCCGATTGTTTCAATATCGCACTGCTCGAACCAAGCTCTGGCACGGAGTCCGAAGATGAAGTCGACGGCACCATTGATGAACGATTCTGCATACACTTGTCGTCCTTCGTTCGCATAGATGGTATCCTGATATCCTTCGAAGCGGCAGCCGTAGAATCCTTGATTCGTATTTTGGGCACTCAGAGCAAGTGCTTGTCCATTGGTGCTTGCTTGACCGAACGTATTGGCAATATTCAAATTGTACAGCTTGACGTTCGAGGTCCAAAGACGAAGCGTGGCAGTTTGATCGTTGCTAGTCAGGCCCGGTGTCGTGCGAGAAAGGTTACCGGTGATGGTCGCTTGGTTCTCGGCATAAGAACGGCTATCACAAGTGTACCCTTGTATGGTAAGTGACCCTGCTAGCTTGGGAACATACACCTGCTCAGAGTATGTTCCGGGCATCAAGAAGAGGTATTGCTCTGCTGTCGTGTTGGCTAGGGCTGCAACAGCAGCATTGACAGTGGTAAAACTGTTGGCTGATTGACCTGAAGCGTCGACTACCAGTGCATTGGCCGGAGGCTGGATCCGAACATGCTTTCCTTTGCATGCTGATGATGCAGCCGCACCACTTGTGGTGAGTACGATGAATGATAGCACTGTTTTCGGTAACATGATGACTGATAGATGTTAGACAGTGATTTGAAGGATTTCACCTGCTCAATTTCGCAGAGATTCATATCATTATATATGCAATATTTCTTCCAGCAAATCAACAGGTGGGATCAGCATAGGCCGCGGAACAATGTGATCAAGACCACTTTGCGGAGTTACCCCTCAAATGCAGATGATGTACCCCGAGGTATCTTGTTTGTGGGGTCGTGAGTTCTACAAGTGTATTTGACGACGGTATAGCCCGGCAAGAGCAAGTTGCATTTTGCGGACGTACCCATCTTGCATCCCTTCATACATCGCCAAGGCGGAAGATCAGCAATGCTGCATTCCGCCAATCATGTTCGAAGTCTTGCCTTTATCCAGCGGGTACCTTTCAGCATGCCGACTCTTATTTTCAGTACCTTCCATCATCGCTGTATGTGACTTGGACATCCGTCTTTTTCACAATGATATGATCCTGAGGGGGTGGCTCTCTATGGAATCGGAGTCTTGTAATCGATCTCCTGCTTGAGCGCTTGACCAGATTATCGAGAGCGGTGTAGGAGGGGTCTCTGTCAACAGAAGCGATCTTCGTGTTTTGTTGGAGGAGCGTAGTTTGGAAGATTTTCCAGACATAGAACCTTGAGAGGTGTTACCCACTAGCATATTCGAATGCGTGCTGAAGCTGGTCGCAGCACGCTTCAGGGGTTGAATAGCCGTCGCAAGAACGCTATGTCCAACCAGAGCGATTTGCCAGTATAAAGCGGTTCCATAAATGATATCGGAGGGGTTGTTCTGAGTGGTATAGCGTTTGGAGGCCACGAGGAAGTAGGCCGAGATCAGGACAAGACTTTCCATTTGTCGTCAGCTTTGTTGGCATTATTGAGGGGTGTACTCACGGTAATCTCATGCCAAAGATAGTGACTACTGTAAGCTCGTTTTGAACCTTCATATTCAATCGACCAAACAAATATGATGATAACAGAAAAATGAACGACTCGATCAAGATGCTGATAACCAGGATTGCTTCCAGTCCAGTCTTCTATCGGGATGTTAGAGACGCTCAAAAAGCTTGTGTAGTATTGTAGCACTTACACCTTGGCTATATACGACAAGGTGAGGCGTGTTGGCGAGATACGGATCTAAACATCGAGAAGCCCAGATGGCGACAGCTTATATTATCCAGACGATGGTGAGGCCTGCCACACTGGCTAAAGCTGTGATATGCATCTTGTCTCGCATAGTACCTCTGCAGATGATCTTGTATAACATTGCTGCTGTCGACAGCTTCGAGAGGCTCTCTGCAATGAAGCACAAGACAGAGCTGTTGATGACCAGCTATCACGCAAGTCAGCCTAAATCATGACCCTTCCGGCCATATTTCCCGCTGACCTTCGCGATACGAAGTGTACGTGCTTCTAATAAGCTCTGTGGTGATATTCCGAGCCCATCGTACAACGCCTGATATATGCATCCGAACGAGGCCATTGCAAATCTCTGTTTCAAAGGTCAGGAAGCGTCCGTTCAGAGGTAGATCCACAACTCACAAACGCAAGAACGAGAAGTGTATCTTCGAGTCCATACTCGTGGCTTCGCACAATGATACGCAATGCAAGATCCAAAGCAGAGAATATGATGACCCAAGTAGTCTCAATCCATAGCCAAGGAGATGCGTTCATTTCGATCAAGCGTCCACTCATCATGAACAGGTCAGAAGATCAAAAAGTGATGAAGACTTTGGGAAAGTTCATCGGCTTGTGGTGTATGGAAGGTATCGTGCGTGCTCATCATTGATGCTCTCCACCGAGCAACACATCTCATTTCTGCTGTTGCAACAGGACTCTATGATTGCTGCTTGGCACTGTGCATCAATGGATCCTCCTGAGTGAATGGCGTTTCTTGTTAAGAGCTTATGCGGCGGCATTTCGGGACACGAGCTAAGCATCGTTGTGTCGGGTTTCGATTAGGCTTTCGGGTCATTCTCCAGGGTGTGGATCAACGACAGCTAGATACAACCGGTTCGTCGAGTCGGATGGCTTGTGAGTGCTACTGGGAATTCTTCGGTGATAATGGGTGTGTTATGGCAGTCGCGTGATGAAGGAGTGTTGAGCCGCTGGTGTTTGAGAGATCGGGGCAGGACCGTCCCGTCGGGTTAGCTCCTGAAGACCCACAGAGGTTCAGGAACATTTCTATGCAGGTGCGCCTGCCTTTTCAAGCTTGCCGATTCGTCGTGGGTACACCTTCATTGGGTTCGCTCGAGTATGCGGTCACACCACTCAGACATTGTTTGTCAACTGTGAATCTCGTATCATAATTGGTGATGGATGCCCTGTCTCAAGTGGCTCTTGGACATTGATACATGTCTTTGCAGGTTGGAATAGCTTGCTCGAGTGCCTTAAGTGTCAGTCAGATGTCGAGCTCGACCGTACTTGCCAGGTGATTCGGCGGGAGAATATTTTAGAGGAGGCTTGTGTGCAATCTAAAGTCCCATTAGCTCTAGTCCATACATTTGTAATACACAAAGATGGACCCGAAAGAACGATTCACTAACTGCGCGGGATATGTGGCACGCAGGCCGAGCCAATTCATCATGATCTCAAACCTTGTCGAGGACGCTTCGCTCGAGCACTGTTATTCATTGATTGAAGCCAGAACCTGAAGATCATCTCGATGTTGTTTTCCCGAAATTGATACTGTGCCGAGCAAGTGGAGTGTGCGTGCACCTAGTACAGTATTTGATGAGAGGCGGCAATCGAGACCTGGTCGAATCAAGTTCAATCATATAAGATTGACTGCCTTCGTGAAATTTCTGATGCCCTCGCTACTGCGCTCCTTTGCGAAGATATCGCGGGATACCGTTCGCCATGAAAGCCATCAAGCGTCACAGCCATCAGGAAGATGGTCCCTCAATTCATCAAGGCCTCTCTGTCGACGATAGAGACATGCAACGAATGGCGCTTTCTTCAGAGCTTCGTGTTGGTATCAAGGAAACATATCTCTCATCTCTATTGTGCTGACAAGCATCAGCGTCGGTTCAAGCTTGCCTCTGTCATTGGCTTCGCTTGCATATCCGGAGCCAATGACTGTCGTAACGCTGGCAGTCGTGATTGTCGCAACAGTCTACTATGTTATCCGTGGATCAAGCACGTTCGAGGGACCTGCTGTGAGGATGAAGAAAGCTGAGGATGACAGTAGTATGGTGGCCATGGAAGATATAGTCGTCCATGGGAAACAGTGATATATGACGCGATATCGATCAAGCCCGACCTGTAGTAGCTTGCTCATGGCCAGTCTCATTTTGAATATGTTCTACGGAACGAACAATGCAAACTTCAAGCGCCCTCAACAAGTGATCATTACTCGCGTTTCGTGACGTGACGCTGTTGCAAGAGGCAAGATCCGAGACGCGACACGGAAAAGCAGACTTGCCGCCGGCTAGATGTTTTCCGAGCCGAGGTTCTTCCGTGATGCCTTCGTTTCGGCCGATGATCGCTCCCTCCCTCCTCAAACCATTAACCATGACTTACAAAAATGTCAGGCACGCGCACTCGCTCAGGGTGCATGGCATGTCGACGCCGCAAGAAACGATGCGATGAAGTCAAGCCAAATTGCCGGCGTTGTCAAGTATCTGGCGCGTCTTGCCTCTATCCCAATGCCAGCGGATCTTTCAATGAGCGATACCTTATCTCGTCAGCTTTGAATCATTACATTCTACCAAGCACATCTGCCGAAAGACATTTTGTGAATCTACATCCGAGAGATATTGCTCGCCTTTGCCTGTCATACGATGAACAGACTACTCACCCTTTCGACACAGATCTCACTATCTATGGTCAGATACCGAGGCCCTTATCTGGAAATGATGCTCTCGTAGATGTCTCTGAGAGGAACTTACTTCAGTATTGTATGCATGTGTGAGAATAACCACATTTCAGTAGGCTTATACATTCGACAGATTCTGAAGTCATCAGTGCAAGCAGAGTCTACGTGACCGGGGACGTGAATCCGTTCCGTTCGTTGACTATGCCTTTTGCTTATACACGACGTGGACCTCTGCTTTTAACCATTTTAGCCTTGAGTGCAGCTGAGATGGCCAATTCGGGCTGCGGTCAGCCCGCTCGTTTGATGTCGAATGCTGCTGTGTATTATGACAATGCGATCAACCAGCTGCAGCAGTCGCTGGAGAACTCCTACGACGCCGAGGAAAATCTCTTGACTTGCGTCCTTTTGTCTTCTTTCGAGATCACCAACGGATCTCGTCCAGCATGGCTGCAACATCTCAACGGAGCTGTAGCTATCCACAACCATTTCGCGTCGTCTATTGGTCGTGACTCTGCCTTATTCGCCTACCAATACTTCAGCTCTAGATGGATACTATTGGAAACGACCATGCCTCCAGGAACATACCCATGGGAGAAAGTCATGGCAGAAGATTCGATGACATTTCAGCTTCTCCAGAACCTGAATTCAATGCTGGAGCAAACGGTCGATACTGTTCCCACTGTCGCGATGCAAAACATCGACAATAACATCGGTTGCTCGTTGGAATATCTTCAGCTCATCAACAGAATATCGATCCTGTCGGCTATGAAGTTTCACTGTCAGGCCGATGAGACTGCTACCGAGGAAACCTACGAGCTGTATTCTACCACAGCGATGGCCTTCGATGACGCCCTGAAGGAAATGGTATTTATCACCAGATCACAAGACACATATATTGAACAAAGCAGCCGATGTTTCAAGCTAGCGGCCAGAGTCTACCTACGTCTGATCTGTCTCGATGCCAACCTCAATCACTTAGCCTTGATCGAGATGCAGAACGACTTGGTTCAAGCTTTGCGCCTGGTTATCAACGAAGACCAGCAACGACGAGCATTCCCTATGTGGCCTCTGTTTATCGCTGCATGTGCAAGTTATGAGGACGAGCACCGAAAGGTTGTCCTGGACATGTTCCGCACGCTTGAGAGAAAGTGGCCGATTGGCAACATCACATATGTCCGGAACGTCACCACACAAATCTGGCAAAGTCGCGACTTGAACGGGCACGACAACAACAGCCGAAGACACGACTGGCAGAGGCTCATCACGACATTCGGCTGGAAGCTCGCGCTGTCCTGAAGATAGAGCAGGCCCGAGCTCAGACAGCCAGGCACGAAACTTGCTCTGCATTACCCAATCCCGTCGCTCCCGTCCAGCTTCCACGAACCGTCACATACAGCTTATTTTGTGAGCTCCTGTCCCCAGCCAAGCAAGGGTCCCGCCTTGTCGCCTGGTGTTCCTGGCCCACTTGGCTGGCTGCCGACATTCGACAAAGGCGCGTTCGTGGGTTCGACTCCCACCACGCGCCGAATAATAAGCAAACCGGACCGCCGGTTTCTTTCCACTGCCACCGGGCAGTGGTTTCTTTTGCTCTTTAGAGCTGTGCCATGATATTTTTTGCGACATGCTTCAAGTACCGACTTTTGGAGGTCTGCACAACAGATCAAGGTTCACAAGAACAATCTGCGGCCTGTTGGTTCTTCTCTCAAGCCTTCGCTATCATCATAAATGCCATGGAAATTCCGCGTCCATGAACACGACTCTTAGGCGCGTCGTGGTAGCTTGTGCAGTTGTATGCACCTTGGACCGCCAGCTTCCCAGTCACATCTTGTGCAAGTTGCTTCTTTGATTCTTGAGCCGTCACTCAGGTTGGATAATCTGGCAGGAGATGGAGTTGCAGTCATTTAGATCAAACATGAACATGGCTTCCGTCCGAGTTTGATTTTCTTGTTACCCAAAATTCCCAACACCACAACCTTGTGATATATGATCCGTATCTTCCATTCATTTGCACCTTTGGACACCCTGATCACCCTAAACACCTCCCTNCACTTACACCTCCGGTACTTGGCGATGCATGGGTGATGCTCGTCCAAGTCGTCGTGTGCGGCGAAAGTGGCGATGGTGTCGTTTGATCATGGTCGCGAAGATGGGGGTATGATTCATTAGACGGGGAGATTTATGCAAGGCCAGATTCGAGGAAGGAGGACGGGAAATTTACTTGTCCATCACTACGACGATTGTGAAGCTCAAGTAATGAGGTGTGAGTTCTTGAATCTTGTGTCAAGTCCTGTCATCATGATGGAGTGTATTGTCGTCCGTTGATCTGGCTATACGGTAAAGGTAATTCCCAAGTAGCTGTCCGTAGAGGGTTATGGAGAGGGGTGGTGGGAAATCCGAGGTAAGGTGAAGGAAGGGGTATGAAGTATATTTCTGAGCCATTAGGCTGTTTCTATTGTTTTCCACGTGCTGGAATTGAAAAGTCTGTTCCACGATAGGTCATTTCCACTCATCTACGCTCTGATTTAGAAGCATATCTGAAGCACATTATGACAACGTTCAATGAGTGATAGCAAGTCATGTTAGAGGCACCCAATGTACAGAAACCCCTTTCGATGTAGTAATTCTGCTTCTACTAACGGGCGTCACGACCAAGTGACATTAAATCACAAGCGAGCTTGCAACCCTCTTCTTCTTGCTTCATCGATCAAATCGCTCAACTCTCTCGACTTGCCAATGCGCCAACTGACACTATCCCCCCACGATTGACCTCTCTCGTCTTTGGTCTTCCACTGCCATCTATTTATACTCTGCTTTCCATTTTCCAACAGCTCAACCACCCACTTGCCGAAAATTGGCATCATCTTGAATCCATGACCTGAGTCGCCAGATAAGATGACGACAGAGTTGTTTGTGTCCGGCAGGAAATCGATACAGTACTCAGAGTTGCTTGTATCAGCAAACCAACAGATTTTCTTATCCACGAAAGGACGATCTGCCATCCATGGGAACGTCTCCGCCACTAGCTTTCGCAGCTTGATCTCGTCTTCTGCGGGTATGAAGTCCTGAGGTGGAGGTATTCTGTCCATCGGCGGTAAAGATGTGCCAATCTCATCCGTATTGGTAAAGCCAGCACCAAGGGGACAAAGCTTGAACAGACGCGTTGCAGGATCTGGTTCGAAGAAGAAGCCGAGGTCGCGAACATTGATTACAGGAAGACCTCGAAGGTAGTCACATTCTTGCTCGGTGAGTTGGATATGAGCGACAGACCAACTTCGTGCGGTCACGAAGCGACCCATCTCTGGGACTAGCGAGGCGCCCCAGGCACCTGATGCGACTATCGTTCTAGCAGCGGCATGTGTCTTTCCGTCTGCTGTGCGTACGCCAGTGCATCTCCGAGCAGATCCTTGTCCCTCATAAACAAGCTCCGAGACCGTGCCGGCAGACTTCCCAAGCACGAACTTGATGCCCAAGGTTGCGCAATGGAGGAAGATGCCATGGAGAGCGTTGGCGGAGTGTGCATATCCAGCAAGGCGATTGAAGTAGCCAGTGAATCCTTTCAGTGGTCCTGTGATCTGCCAGGCGTATTTCTTGAATTCGTCGCCGTCATTCAAAGCTTCAATACCTGGAGCAAAAACTGGATGCTTGGAGACGGATGCAAGGGCAGTCTCGAGGCTGTTTCTCGCTTTCGCGGGTGCAGAACCGGAGGTCGCCACGATGTAGCCGGTTTCGTGATAGTAAGGACCGAACAGCGGATCCTTCCAGGCTTGTATCGCTTGCTTCGACAGTGTTAGTGAACTCGTTGTTGGAATGGCTGGTTAGACGAACTTACTAGAGCCAGATCTGTGTAGAAACTTTCTTCGTACTCTGCTCGCACAATCTTGTTGATATCGTAGGCTGCTGAATATCGAGATGGTATTGAGTCTGCAGTCTCAAAGACGGTGATGTCGGTGTATCCAGATTGGCGAAGATGAAGGGCAGTGGACAGGCCCCAAGCACCTCCGCCGACAATGACGATCGGTTCGGATTTCGACATTAGGGGTGTAGTGGAGATGGAGAGGACGCGAAGGACGAGAAGATTGATTGCTGGAGGATATGACCAAGTGAGAAGCGTCGAGTCACTGTCTATAATAAGCAGATATAGAATGCACGATTTTCGATGACATTTTGGATGCACAGTGCTTGATGCGGCAAGAAGATCCGATCACTCTACCACCGTATCCGGCCGGTTAGTGCTGGCGCACTCGACGGTTGTGTTTATCGCCAGACGTTGGCAGTTCAACATTGATGGCGATAAGCCGTGATGATAGCAGAGGTTAGCGTAGCCGCACCCCACATTCCCCGCCTCGATGGTGATCATCGCTACGGAAGGAACACCGAGGTTTAGCGTGGGCGCTGTGACAAACAAGTCCATCTGACGAAGCAGTGGAATCAATTCGAAACAAGTCGTGATATCAGCGGACCATGGTCAAATGATTGAAAGATTGAACTTCATTGATAGGCATGTAGGTTACTTAAGTAAGGTTGCTAGGATAGAGTACTGTCTGTAGTGGAATCATCTCCTCCTTCAGCGTCCTGGGAGATGTGAAACGCATCAAGGCATTTGCGCTTCCAGCCTTGTCGTTCGTTCCGCTGCTTCTACTTCCGCCAAACGACTGATGACCAATGACTGCACCGGTCGTCTTACAGTTGAGGTAGAAGTTGCCAGCTGCGTATCGCAAGGTATCCTCTGCATGACGCAGAACACTTCGGTCGTTGGCAAAGATTGCTCCTGTCAGAGCGAAGCCTCCTCCTTGTGTATCGATCTTGGCCATGACTTGATCAAACTCTTGGTCCGGGTAAATGTACGCTACGAGTACTGGACCAAATATTTCCTCGTCGAACAACTCATGGTCGAGCGTATTCGCGACGTATAGTGATGGGTGGATGAAATGCCCTTTACTTCCGTCGTATGAGCCTCCGAAGATGCTTTGTAATCTGCTGTCACCGTTCGCCTTGTCGATGATGTTGGCAATCTTGTCGAATGAGGCCTTGTGGATGACGGGTCCCAAGAAGTTCTCGTAATCTTCAGGCTGACCGACCCTGATTGGCTCCATCTCTTTCTCGATCCGGTCAAGGAACTCTTTAGATCTGCTCTGAGGTATGTAGACACGGGAGCATGCAGAGCACTTTTGACCCGAGTACTCAAATGATGCTCGAATGGTGTGTTTGACGGCGTTATTCATGTCGGCAGAGGAGTGTATCAAATGGAAGTTCTTTCCAGACGTCTCGCCGACCATACGGGGCATGTCGCGGTATTTTTTACCAACGACACCTTCAGCAGCTTTGGCATACAGACTGCGGAAGACGTCTGAAGAGCCAGTGAAGTTCAAGGCTGAGAATTCTTTGTGTTCGTAGACAGTCTTTGTGATGGTCTCTGCGTCGCCGGGCAGGAACTGGATGACGTTGGGAGGAAGACCGGCTTCGAGAAGGATCTGGTATACAAGCCAACTTGCGTAGACACCTGTCGGTGAAGGCTTCCAAAGAACGACATTGCCCATGATGGCTGGACCAGATATGAGGTTGCCGCCGATTGCGGTAAAGTTGAAAGGTGAGATGGCGTAAACGAAGCCTTCGAGAGGTCGCCAGTCTGTTCGTCTGCATCTTGTCAGTATGAAGTCTTGAAAGTATTGACAAGAAGCGAACGCTTACCCAAAGTTTCCTGGAGCGTTCAGAGTTGGCTGCTTGTTATAGACTTCTTCGGCATACGAAACATTGAAGCGGAAGAAGTCGGCAAGCTCAGCAGCCGCATCGATCTCAGCCTGCCACGCGTTCTTCCCCTGACCCAACATGGTTGCCGCTACAAGTTCGTATCTATACTTGCCGGCCACGAGCTCTGCAGCCTTCAAAAAGATTGCTGCCCGGTCCACGAACGGCGTTGCTTGCCAGGACTTCTTGGCCTCAAGAGCAGATTCGATGGCGTTTTGGACGTCTTCAGCGCTTGCTGAGCTTGAATTCGCAAAGACTTGGGCGTGCTCTGAAGGCATAGTCGATTTCAAAGTGCTGCTTGTTGTCTTCACGCTGCCTGAAACATGGAGCGGGACAGGGAGTGGAAGCTGCGAGCGCAATGATCGTAACGCTGTGTCGAGCTGAAGCCTCTCCGGAGAAGCTTTTGCATAGTGTAGCTGTAGATTTTCAGTGTCTATAAGCTACATGTGAGGTCCAATACTGACGTTCTCCTCGTTGTGAGCATTTGGCAACTTGAAGTGGCCGCTGGTAGCCACTCCAGCTCGCAAAAGAGGCTTCTGGATCGATTGCCTGATACTGATCCATGGACAAGCCTGTAAGCGCAAGACATTGCGGGCTGCTGGAGCAAAACGATGATTCAAAGGCATGTTGCGCTGTGAAACGAGTCGGGGTCAAGGTGATGAGAGTGAATGAGAAGTAGAAGCAGAAGACGACTGTGACCAGCAGCGTCGCCAGGCTGGCGCGTCTCCCATCTTCCCAGAGTTGAGTTACATGCATCATACAGCGTAAAGGCGCCTACGCTAACCTCATGTATCACCTGTATCCGTGTCATCGGGTCATCAAGGTTTTGTGGAAGTAAGAAGTCACGAAAGCTATCGGGATGACAGCCGGGCAGTGATTGGGAGCCGCAAAAAGTGGGGTGCTTGGCAGGGTCTGGCGGCTACGCTAGCCGTCTATCTTGCACCTTCGACAAAGCACTCTCTTTCCCCTCACCATCATTTCTCATCTGACCATGGCGGATGACAATCCGCGCCAATTGACATCAATCATGGTAGCTGGATCTTTTGGCGGTTTTAGGAAAGGCAATGCCGTACTACTCGACATGTATCCACCTCGAATGCTCTTGTCTGACTTTCAACTCTATACCGGATGAACAAGAGTCCAAGTTACGGAAATGCAGACACTCGTACGGACTACTCGCAGAGGAGCTTTCCCCGAGACAGGTCGAGCCTGTGTTATAGCTTCGATATGCAGTCGACGAACTCTTCTCCATGGCCAAACACAGCTCTGTCGACGAAGACACAATTCGACACTCCTGACCTCCAGACAGCGGAATACGTCTTCTCCAGATGCGCCGACGAAGCCATCCAGGCGGACGCTCCAAGTCATACCAACTACTACGCTTGTACGATCGCTTATAGTCTTGTCAGCCACAATGCTACCCGCAAAGCTGCTGGCCCTCCTCATTCGCATGACCAAGAAGCACGTTGGAATCATCGAATCGATCGGCCCACTGAGATGGACCTTCAAGAAGATGTTATACGACAACTTCTGCATCGGCTTTCGAAAAGATGAGATCTTAACCAAGACCCAGGAGCTTCGTCGCATAGGCTTCACTGGCATCGTTCTGGCGAATGCCCGTGAGGCTCAACCTACTGCGGATACGAACATCGGATCAGTCATTGGTGACACTCAATGCGAGGAATGGGTTGAGAACAACCTTGAATCAGTACAACAAGCTGACCCTGGAGACTATGTCGGTCTGAGATTCACCGGCGCTGGCACCGCGGCAGCCAAGTTCCTGGCCGACTTTTCGGCGGTTTGCAAGTCCCATTCGCTGGAAGAAGCGAGCAAGATTTACTCTGCCGACATGGAACACTACGTCGCTCAGGTCAAGAGGGTTTGCGCTGCAGCCGAGGAGCGCCGAGTCCGCGTCCTGATTGATGCAGAATCCTCAACGTATCAGAGGGCTATTGATTGCGCTGCTCTGGTGAGTCTCTCCGTGTGTCTCCCAGTCAGGTTACTGATACATGATATAGCAAATCATGGCGAGCTTCAATACTTCGCATCGAGCCTTGGTTCTAAACACCTATCAAATGTGAGAATTCTCAACCACACTCGAAGCATGCCACTGACACTATGAAGGTACCTGAAGTCCAACATGGACAAGGTGAAGTTACATCTGGACCACTCGATTAAGTATGGCTATGTTCTAGGCATCAAAATGGTGCGAGGTGCCTATCTCCACACCGAACTGGACAAACAATCTTTGCACGTTTCCAAGCAACGGACCGACGAGGCTTACGACGCTACCGTACAATTCCTATTGCAGGAAGGGAAAGCAGTACCTTGGAAGGCCGACATTATGCTTGCGACTCACAATGCTCAAAGCGTCCGCAAAGCTTTCGACCTATACACTAGCACGCAAAATTCTTCCAAGCAGAATGGTGTACCCGAACCGCAGATTCGCGGAATGACCTTCTCGCAGCTGATGGGCATGGCCGATGAAGTGTCTATGGATTTGGTCAACAAAATTGACATTGCGAAGAAGGAGGAACCTACCCGACATCTCACAGAGATGGATGACACGAATCCATACCCTCGCCTTGGTGTTTACAAATATACTGCTTGGGGAAGCCTTCGCGACTGTCTTCTGTACATCTTGCGAAGAGCTGAGGAGAACAAAGATGCGGTTGCTCGGACTCAGGACACAGCGTTCGCGGTCATGCGTGAGTTGCAGTCTAGAGTTCTGAGGAGAATTTAGGCAGATGCTATCTTAGCTCTTTATTGGCATCTTCCTCAGTTTCATGATTCAATGCACGATACTTTCACAGTACTCCAGCAATCAAGCCTAATCCTTTGATGCATCGAAAGTGCCAATGAAAGACTACCTCCACGCGCTATGGAGTGAATGTCTATCACAAGCTATCGAGTGTTCGAGATGATTCGTTCACGACTGGAGATATCTACAGATATCGAAGGACCTTGCAACGGCCAGCAAAAAGCTCGAGGCTAGCGTAAGCGCGTCCCTGTCAGCCACTCAAGGTTATCGTTTTCCCCAGGCATCCCCCGCCTTTTGATCATCTTCCGCTGACTAGTGGCAAGATACACAAGTTAGCGCAGCCGCTCGTACACCTCAATCCATGCGGCTCCTATCTTTTCTTCTCCAAAGATACACTTTGACATCTCAATCTTGTGACCACTCATGATGAAGTCCTCGTTTGTCTTTTCCAGGAGCAGCAATGATATCCCGTTCTTGCCCAGAGTGAAGCCCTAGATTCTGGAGCAGTACAGGAAATCTGTGTGCTGAACGGTTGTGGCCAATAGGGCGAGAACCATTATCAGAGGAAGAGATTGGGAAGTCGTCCTTACTTAAGGTCTCTTCTCAGGAGTCAAGGTTGGTACTGTTCATCCACAACTTGAGGATACTTTCTACAAGGTCACCATCCACCAAACATCTCCACCTCATATCATTCATCCACCATGACTTCCTACTTGAATTACTTCGGCTTTGGCGGAGACAAAGCTTCTTCTGGCAAAGCAGTAGATGGTTTGCCCGCCAAGCAGTCTCCAGTCAGAGCTCTGCCGGCAACATGGTATACATCTCCCGAGATGTACGAATTCGAAAGACGAGCCATTTTCACCCGTCGATGGCTCTTCATGACACACAGCTCACGTATCAAGAACGCTGGAGACTTCCTTCGCTTCAACATTGCAGGATACGATGTCATCATCAACAGAGACCGTGCTGGAAACGTCAATGCCTTCCACAACGTCTGTAGACATCGTGCTTACCCTGTCGTGGAGAAGAAGGAAGGCAACGCGAAGATTTTCGCTTGCAGATACCACGGCTGGTCTTACGGCTTGAATGGAAAACTCGCCAAAGCTCCTGGCTATCAAGACTTGGAGGGGTATGAGAAGGAGCAGAACAGTCTCTTCAGCATCCATGTCAAAGTCGACATCAACGGCTTCATCTGGATCAACATGGACGCCAAAGAGACCCCAGAAGTGCCCTGGGAAGAACATTTCGACAACGTCGACAAGCAAGAAAGGTACAGCGAGTTTGATTTCGACAATTACGAGCTCGACCACACCTACGAGATCGAAGGTGATTTCAACTGGAAGATCCTCGCCGACAACTTTAACGAATGTTACCATTGTCCCACCACCCACCCGGACATCCCGGACTTCATCAATCTCGAAACTTTCGACTCCGATCTCAAAGACGGCCACATCCAACACCACTGCATCTCTACCCCCGAGCAAGCGGCCAAAGGCTTGGGTGTAGCCAGCACATACTACTTCCCCAACACCTCCATGACAGTCTCGTAAGTCTCCCACCGTCCCCCCAACCACCTCAATTATTTCTTAACACCTCTCCAGCCCCCACTTCATCATGGTCCAAAAATTCCTCCCCTCCTCCCCCCTCAAATCAACAATGTCCTACGAAATCTACCGCAACAAACACTCCTCGGAAGAAGATTTCCACCTGATATCCTCCATGTACGCACGCGTAATGGCGGAAGATAAAGTGCTGTGCGATCAAGCTCAGAAGAACCTAAACGTTGGTGTTTTCGTAAACGGTCAATTGCATCCTAAATATGAAAAGGCGCCACTGTTTTTTCAGCAAACGGTTCGGGAGATTATCACTGGACATTACAAGAGGGAGCAGGAGGCGGGAAGACAGATTTGGCCGGCGAGGAGGGAAGTGGTGGATGGAGTCAGTCAGGAGGATTTGGAGATTTGTGAGGGTATCAGTTGTGGGGGGAAGAAGGAGGAATTGAATTGGTGATGGTTGATCGTGGCTATGATGATGGATGATGGGTTGCTCTTGATGGTTTTTGCTTTGTAGCAGGTATATAGATCGGATAGTGATTTGAATATGGAAAATTTCAGTCAAGATTTATCATCAGCGATTTAATTTTCCTCTCACGATCCTATCTCTGCGACAACTAAGCTGTAGAGATGCATGGTGATTTTTTCGTATTCCAGGAGTCGTTCACAGAGTACGAGCAGCTACACCACACACTCTCACAAGAGTTGATGTCGGTCGCAGAGATCGCGCATCTCTGCAAGATTGTGTCAATAGTGCTCTTAGCCGGGTATATTCGACGGGGGGGCGAAAATCCTGTCGCTTTTTCTCTGTCCCATAACGATTCAGTTGTCAAACATACATTGTGCTATCGAGCCTTGAGCAAATACACCACAGATATCAGTTTTTCAATAGACTCTCACTGGCAATTTCTATGTTTAAGATGCTGCAGTGCTACCTCGAGAAGAGAATCGCAATGAAAGAGAGCAGGGGGGTTTCTCATCAACATTGAGAAACACTTGCACTTTTACCCTCTCCCGTCAGAGTTTCACAACATTTGTGCTGAAAGGCTTGCATAATTGTTCTGAAAATCAACATGGAAGCGCAGAGATACTTTAATTGATCACGCTCTCATTCTCACTGGCCGGGATCTCGATATGTCGACATCCCTACATCCCTGCATTCCTACATTTCTACAACATCTCCTCAAACCAGGAATCGAGACATGAGAGTCACGACGGAGATTTAAAGTCATCTGCAGCCACGAGCCCCTCACTACACTCTCACCAAAGATCATGTCGAACAGAAAAGTTTCATACAATTATACACATGCACTGATGACGGCTTTGAAGTTTGAGAGAGAGTTGAGAGTGGTCTATTCTGCAGCACTCTCGGGGACTGCGACTTCGATGGAAAATTGACCGTGAATTGCTACAGTAGTGCCATATAAGATGGCTGGCAGGTGCGAGAGATCATGACTTATGTGGCTCTTATTCTTCTCATGGATTAACACGTTTTGATTTATCTGAATCGATGCACAATAATATTGATTGAGATGGTGCCGGCCATGAAGAGCTTTTTACCAACGCTCTCCGGACCGCACCTTCGCATTTGAAAGTCTTTGTGCATTTGTTCAGTTCGATGGGAGATCAACTGAAGCGCAGCAGAGGAAAGAGTTATCATATTTTTGTCATCTATACGTTGAGTAGTTCTGCCTATCACTGCCACACTGGCGCTTTGGATTCCCTGGCATGTACTCGAGTAGTACACCGGTGTCACGACCCATACAGGGTCATCTTAGGCCTTCTTGATAGATCCATGAGGTTTCTTATTGTATTCCAGCTCTGAACTCTCCTTTGCGACTTTCTTCTGCTTAGATGACCTCGCCTTTGACACAAGAGAGGAAAGTGCTATCAGAACTTCGTCATTCGCAAACTTCCTGCCGCCAGACAAAACCTCCACGGACTGTCTCAATACCTTAAAGATGATGATGCCTCGAGGATTGCGTGATCCCTTGCTTCTGAAAAGGGTGTACCCAACTATCCGTGGACCGTGTATACCCTGCAGACGGCTGTAGCTCTGCACATACATGTCCCAGTTCGAGATCATCTCCACTGAGAGCGTGCTAGTCAACGTATTTTGATGAACGAGTTTGATGTCTGCGATCTATGGACGGTCCTGGATCAATTGCAGCTTCCTCCCAGTCTTCTCCAGTATTCAGCTATGTTCATCAAAACAGCGGCTTGGATTGGTTTGCGTAACCCTCAAATGCAAATACTGATAGCGTCTCCGATGCATTTTCAAGGTCGTGTAAGAGGTTGATGGTAGCAAGGACGATCAGTACATACATCAGTCAAGTTGTTGCTCATGTTGCACGATGGAAAAGGCTTTCTCATTGTTGAGGTGAACTTGGATAATGTGGTCTTTATTCTAGTGTCACAATTCCAACTCTTTCTGAAGGGGGTTGTTTGTCGACTGAGTCTGCAGTTTCCTGCTTGGCTTCGTCCGTTAGGACTACTAGACACCTTCGCGAACACTGACGCTTGACTCTTGAAGGTGACCCCTCCCGCCCGGTGATTCGTGAATCACACTCCCACCACGGGGCCCGGCCAAGGTGTGCTGGAAAACAACCACCCCTTGACCGGTGGATCTATCAAGAAGTCAGTCCATGTTCTGACGCTGTCCAATAAAGGGTGAGGGCTTCGGAACCCGCTACCGAAGCAGCACCACTCTGAACCGGGTCCACAAACGACTCTCCCCTTTCGGAGCTAGCCCCTGCTTCTACCAGTTCCAGGGATTCGTTGGCTCCGTCAGTGTTGAACTGAACGGACCCTCCACCCCGAGTGGCCCGTCTCCGGAGGAACCATGTTCTGATCGAGGTCTACTCGAACAGAGCCAGTATTCCCAGTACCACAGAGAAACAACCAAGGACGGCACCAAGAATGGTGAGCGCAGAGGTTTCTATACGGGTGATATTAGTCGGTGTACTTGAAAGTAATGCGTGATTCAACGGTGGCCATCGGTGCTTTGAGTGTGTCTGAAGGCACGAATTGGTCCACGTGGGAAGATGTTCCAGAGAGATGACGGCATCGATGTGGTATACAGCAGGGATTGAGATAGGATGCGTGTCGGACCGTGCCATGCGACGGGATGTGAGGGCTTGCATTTTGGATGAAAGAGCGCATGGAACGTTGGCTAGGAGGAAGACCAAGGGTATGAGGATGTTTTGGGATGTAAAGGCAAGTTTGGCGGGATTGCGGGCCAGGACCGAGATTGATGCGCATAGAAGGAACCTCGAAGCAGAGGGGCAGGCGGAGAAGGCATGGACGGAGGACAATTTGATACTTACGAGACTCAGTGAGTATGGGCATCTGTTACGAGACGTCAGCACGGTTGTCAAAGAGTTATGGATGGACTGTCAAGCCTACGGTTTTTGCTTCTGAAACAAGCACCATTGTCAGCACACCACCAATCAGTTCAAACCGCGTGACAGGATGCGTACACTTGTTTTTGACTGCTCAAGTATGTCAGTAAAGGCTTCTGATGTCTACACGTTGCATTAGGCTCACAGTTTGAAAATTGTCGAACAGTGAGATGTTGACTATGAGAAGGTGAAGTTGGGTCCGAAGCCTCAGAAGACACAAGGACGCCTGGCGCTCGGACAACGCGGCGGCACTGATGTCACGAGCAGACCGGATTGAGCCATGTTCGACTCTCAAACTCCAATGCTGTTTCCTCAACCGCTAGTTTTCTGGTCCTGCTGTGTTTACTAATGGGAACCTGGATACCATGGTTCGGTGTATCTCTGAACATGATCTTGTGTCCGGAGTAGACTGCACGTCTCTGATTTCGATTTCAGCGTGTCCAGGATCAATACGTATATCATGCGCTATTGGTCACTGCGGCTCTGTGGATTCAATCATAACTTAGTCATATGTTCTGCAGAAAACCCCATCATTTAATGTAATATTCGTGTCTCCTGACAACCTTGCACCTTCCGGTCATTGATCGTTGCCATCCAGCTTTAATCGACGTGTGATTTATAGCCTGCCCGTTCTTGTTTACGGTTCCTCCACCTTCTCAACTTTGACTTCCACCCGTGTCGCCCGTTCAATTTTTCATTACTACTCATCGGAGAGGAAGCATCTTCGCAAGAAACACCGGATGTTCCGCCTTTGGAAATTTCCGGCTGTCTGATCTCTGTGACTCGTGGTGATGTGAATGTTTCGTATGCTGGCGGTGCATCCAGGGATCTGTAGGTAGGAGGATCGTCAAGAAGCCTTGCGGCAGGTTGGAACTCGGGTGTCTTTCTTGCTTGAACTGTAGCACTTCGCGTTGTTCTCAAGAGAGCTTGAGATGGAACTGGTGATCTGGTGTGTCGGAAGTACATGGCTTCTTTGTCAGATGTAATGTATGGATCGATGACGGTCTTTCTTGTGACCATAGCATAAATCCAAGCAAAGCAGCCTATTATCCAGATCAAAACCTCAAGTCCTATATTTGGATCTGACCATAGCGGGTGTCTCATGGCTTGCGGTGGTGCTCTAGCACCTGTGTTCACCCATTGATGATCGTGCTCGCTGGGGTACCCTAGGCTAGCTTTCCCTTGCTGTATAGCTCGGTCCAGATTCGTCCAGGTATACTTGTAATAGCCTTTCAAAGACGCGATACGCCAGCCTACTTGATAGCCCCACTCACATGGGCCCAGGTTAGTCCACGTTCTCAATATGATCTCGAAGCCTTGTTCAGGATGATGATAGATTGCCAGTGTGGCCTCAGTAAGACAACATGGGCACATGAATGGGCGTCGAGAGGTACGAGCCATCGGATCCCGAAGCACCGTTGATTCAAGACCTGTGACAGCCTTGTCAATGGCTTCTATGATCTGCCGAGAGCATCCATAGTGCGAGCAAGCGCGCACAGAGCCGACGACATATCTCCCGAGAGTAAAATCGGGTACACGGTTCTCGAGCTCATCGCTTATAGCATCCGTAACAAGCACGTGCTGCCGAGTGTGTATTATCAAATTGCCGTTGATGACATTGGGTTCGATGTCCAGCTTTGTGATTTGGGGCATCCGCGGTGAGTCGGACCACGGATATGCAATCGACCCTACTGCCCAATCTTGCTTCGTCGAAATGCTTCGAATCTCTGCTTCGAATGGCTCGCCTGATCGGTACTTGTTCATGACTCGCTGCACATCCTGGAAGTGCAAAACAACATTTGGCACACTTGCAATGCTGAATATCCGAGAAGTAGACGGACACGTATGTCTTGTTGGCTGTTCGTCTTCGCTGGTTCCTGTATGCTGATACTGAAACTTCTGACATACGTCACAAAGTTGTCGTCCAGGAAGATCTCTTGCCAGGATCTGGAGAAACAGGTATTCCTCATGGTTCACCATGTTGAGGGGTGGACATGGGGGCCAGGCTCGTTGCTTGCATCCGCAGTGGTTCACCTCTGGATGGAAGCCGCGCTCCCAGACTATCTTCAGGTCTTTGTGATCATGGTAAAGGATCTTACAGGTAAGTGACAAGCAGGCAGCGCTCCGGGCTGACAGTCTCCGGGCGATGTTCGATATGATCGCGGTAGGAAGTTTATTCAGGACCATGGTGCGAGTTCTCGTGAAACTTTGAGTAAAGACAGGAACTTACAAAAAGCAATGGAATGATCTTGAAATTTTGTAGTTGAGTCAGTTTTGACTTAAATAATCGGAACGCACGATATTTTGAGATCACGCAGCCGAGCTGTCGAATTTCGCGTACCATTTGGATCATCTTTCATATCTCGCCTACAAGAGTATCCGCATACATTCCTCTATACAGGGCTTAAGTTGCCTCCCTCTTTGCAAGCCACAAAATTGACTGCCTGCACTCGAGTTGAATACGTGTTGAGAACATGAGAGATCATTGCGTTCGCTATCAGCTTCTCAATGGTCCGTGCTTATAGCCGGTGTTGACCACGAACTTCGCAACAACCACGTCGCTCCTCATACATCGCCAACAACCTAGCCTTCTATGCCATACAAAATCACACTCTAGGTATTACCAAGTTGTAACACTCGCTGGTTCATCAATGCGGTCGCGATGAGCGATATCGTCGCGGACTTACGGCGCTGGGACTGAACGTCGCTTGACAACCAGACATGCGAGATACGTGTGACAGCCTCGAGTGATAACACTAGCTGCGACACTACTGGTCTTGTCAAAGATTGTCTCGCATGTCTACGACTTATCATTGTATCCAAGTAGTAGGAAGGCGCGACTCCGGAGTCTTTCACTCGACGCTTAGACGTCGACTTCATTTGCGCGTCTGCTGTTTACATATGCTCCTTCTCGTCTGGACCAATGCTGTTACTGCCCAACTTTATAATGGTCTCGTGGTTTCATAAGGTCGTCACTTCTTTGCGATCACGCGCTGCGGCTCTATTGCGCCACGAAGAGCGACGTATGTTCAGGCCTTCGAACTTCGAACAACTACGGGAGCCTCTTCTCATGACACATGGATCTGAAACTCCAAGCTCACGTCAGCCTACTCCATTTGGTAAGTGAGCGTGCTCTGATTGACGTTCATCGCCCGAAGCGTTGTCCTTATATCAGGCTGCCCGTCTTGTTTCAGATTCGAGGCTCCGCGGCATGACTCCATCTCCCCGCCCGGCCTGCCCGCGCCTCGACCCCACGTACAGATGTCTATCGCCGCTACGTGCTGGACACTTGCAACTTCCTCGGACGTCAGCCACTCTCTGACTCTGTGAGTTCCCAGGTCAAACAAATATCCTCATTGTTTTGCTTTGAAGACGGCGCGCGCCTTATACCTGACTCGAAGTCAATACGAATCACGCTTTTATCTGCATATACAGAATACGGCGATACCAGTCTATTGCATGTAGGTTTATGGTGGTGGCATGAAGAGCCAATATGGGTTGTTGCTCCGCAAGCGTTGATTCAATATAGAATGCTTCCTGGATACACTTTGCTTATGATCAAAATATCACAGTTCTGTTGACAGCTGCCTCGAGAATATTGCTGTCGTTTCGCATGCCTAGCCGGAGGCTCAAACACAGTCCGACTCAGACGACGCTCAACAGCTGTCAAGGGTTGTTCCTGGTATCAAGGCTGTGTCGAAGGTGTGACCAGGCCACCAAGACCATCTGGAGTCATGGGCAATGTTGTTGCGACTGACTTCCGATGAGATCTAGCAACATGGATCAAACTCGCTCGCAGCCTCACCGTCCAGCCTGGCATCGTCTGACATAAATACCAGGTCCTCCCCCCTCCAAGTCATCTTCTCATCATCAACCAAACACATCGATCAACATCACAACCAACCAACCAACCAACACACAACACTCTTCCAATCAATACCATCTTCGCAACCTTCTACAACACTCTTCATCAATCACTCAACCGTACGACATTCCAATACATATCCAGCTTCGACTTCTTTCTGACTTATCTCACAGGCTACAATGAAGTTTGCTCTTGCTCTCTGTGCCATCACTGCCGTCGCCGCAGTCCCAATGCCCGAGGCAGGGCTGGGCAGTGGCCTAGGAGGTGCCCTTTCGGGTATAGGCCAGGGAACCGGATCGGGGGTTTCGGGCGTGGGCCAGGGGGCTGGTGACGGCGTCTCAAAGCGTGGTATTGGGAGTGGAGCTGGATCAGGCGTTTCTGGCGTGGGACAGGGAGCTGGTTCGGGGGTTTCGGGTATTGGAAATGGCCTGGGAGGAGCTCTGAGCAAGCGAGGACTGGGCAGTGGGCTTGGAAGCAGCGTTGACGACGTTGGTCAAGGGGCTGGAAATGGAGCTTCAGGAGCTGCTCAGGGCGCAGGCAATGGAGCTTCGTTCATTGGTGGTGGGCTGGGCAATGGTATTGCCTAGATGTTCCTGGAGAACATTCTGATCTCGTATCTCTCTACACTCTCTTTATTTTCTGTTTGTTTCTTGTTTCTTAGATCTCTTTTCGTTTAGACTCTGCAATTCACTTTTGTTGGCCAACAACTCTTTTCTCTTTGCCTGGATTGAGCTTTTGGCATCGAATCTTTTCTCAGGCGAGACAACTCTCTTTATACAGCCCAAGAAGCAATCAGACGCAGATACACAAGCAGAATCCTACCGTTGTAGCAACAGCGATTTGTGCAAACACAGCGAAAGAGAACGTGTTGGAAGGTCAAGCAGAACTGAAACGCGGAGAGGTTCTGCATCATTTTAACGGAAGCGTGTGTACAAAGAGCACGCGTTATGATTTTCACATTGTGATGGGCCACGCGAGACCTTACACAACTGAGCATCACAGACGCGACGTTCAGAGTCGATAAAGCGGAAGTAACGACCTCTCTGATTGAGATCGTGTCATGCGTGACCCATTCAGTTACACCTGCCACAGGAATGATTTTCATTCTCTGGCCTTCACAAGAACAAGTGAATTCGAGAAAATAAGAAACTTTCGCTCACAATTCAGACAAGGCTATATAGATATTGAGAATCTCCTCCCTTTCACCTACTCAGGAGGAAGCGGAGTCCAAAGGACGTATGGCCTGAGGGGAATAGCCTGTGCTAAGATGCATCGGGAGAAGTAGCGTCGGCTGCTTCTCCTTTTGCAGGTTGTGTGTTCGATCCTCTGATGTGGATCTTTTGTTTGTTTTGCTTCACTTCAGTTCATACGGTGATACTCACAAGAATGTTAGCGCCACCCTTCCGGTGTGTTCATCAGTCTTCCTCATCTTTGTCACCTCCCCGCCGAGACCTTCCTAGTCCTTAGTAGGTGTTATAATTATGAAGAACCTTTTGGCATCAGATGATCTTAGTCCAGAGCGGCAGATGTACCTTCTACAGTTGATGAAGCCTTCGTATCGACTTTTCTGTGGTACCATACTTCACCATTGGCCGAAGCGTCTCTGTGGAGCATCAACGCATCGATGGGTACAATCAGAGATATTGTGATAGAATTCGGCGCACCAATCACACTGGCTTGCGTGTACAACGCCTTGTTCGTCTTTCAGTACGGCCTGGCAGCTTCAACTCTTTTGAATGACTTCCTCTGGCAGAAACATAGAACTAGATGGCTTCCGAGCGGTCAATCTGCATTTCTCATGAGCTTTCCTTCCTGCACGCGAAAAAAAGAAAGGAGTCTCACCTCAGCTTCATGCACATCGCCGAATTGTCTACACTTTCTCAGCGCTGAGCCGAGCTTTTCTCGCCAGTCTATGTCTGAAAATTCATCATGGTCAAGCACAGCGTCGGCTTAGGATACACTTCGACGGATGGCGTGATAAATATTCCGGGCAGGAACTTAACGGTTATAGATTATCAGGAGCAGAGAGCAAACAGCACGACAGGTAGCAATCGGGATATACGTCGACACTGGGATGTCTAGCAAAGCGAAGAACCAGCCGGAAGTCATTTTGATGGCGGAACGATCGTGCAGGGAGATTTCATGTCCTCATAGAAACTTGGAAAGTCGGGGGAGCCACGGCTCATGGTTGCTTGACTGCGACTGCAGGCACGACCTTGATTGTCGTCCCAGAGCTATCGTTGGAGGAAAGTTGTGGACGGAAGGTTCGCTGCAGCGGGTATGCCAGGTACCGAGGTCACTGGTGGCAGAAGAAGGTCGACTAGAGCTACAAAACGGCGAACTCCCTAAATCCTCAAATTCTGGAAATCTGAAATCCTATCCATATCCGGGGTCCTCCGGGCGCAAGTTAGTCGGATTCGTACATCAAAACTGTAAAACAATTCTCTATACTCTACAAGTCGCTAAACGTATAATTCGAGTCGATAGATCTATTATGTAAGTGCTAAAGTACTTATAAAAATTGTAGCTAGGTAATTATCAAGTAAAAGTGGTAGTATGTTGTATAATTATTTTATGTATAGCATTAAGATGTTACTAGCATTATCTGGGGTCGGTAAGCTCGCGTAGGTAGCTCTAAGCTACCCCTAGCTTTAAGCCAGTTCGCGCGTCGTTTCTTAATACTAACACTACTAAAACAACTCTAATTTTAACTATAACGATGCTAGTTAACAAACAACAAATGGAATAGGCTATTAAGGCCTAGTTTGCTATCGCCGTACCTATAGATCGGCCCTCGATACGTTAATACGCGTACGAGTACGCCGTCGATTAAACTACATTTTTATGTCGCGTTAACGGAGGCCGTACGATAGCTAATTCTTATAAACACTAATAGCGACTAAGTAATACATAAGAGGACTAGCTTCTTTAATAGATAAAAGAGATAGATAAACGTAGATACCCCCCCTCTTACGCGCGCGCGCGCGAGATAGCTACTTAACTCTACCTTACTAATAGCGATACTAGACCTCTTAGCTAGAAATGGCTAAATTCGTTTATGCACCGTAACCCCTTAGTTCGTAGTGTTATTAGTAGGATTATTAAGGCCGCTCGTATCGATAGGACACGCCCTAAAGTTCTATAGGCTTATTTTAAGTTATTCTATTGTATAAAGGTCGCGTATAAGGTTACTTAGGCTAACTATTAGAATATAGATGAACATAGTATTGCTATAGGCAAATGTGTTAATTCCCTAGTTCTTTTAATATTAAACAAGAAGCGTACATACGTTAAATTACTAGAATCGCGCGAATAGGTATCTATCCTCGAGTATATTAACGTAAACGGCAATTCTACTACCCCCCTTATCATTTTTAAGGGTTAGAACCTTTAAACAACCTAGTTTAATAAGACTACACCCTACTAGCAGTATACAACTTCTAAGAATGGCTAGATAAGTAATAATACCTGTTTATAATGGCTTGTTTATATGTTTCTACCCTAAACTCGACCTATTTATAGCGGATACCGAATTCTACTTTGCGATAGCTATAGAAGCTACGTAACAACTAAATTCATGTATTAATGCAAGATTAACAAAGTTAAGCTTATTTATCTACCTACGCATTTATCTTATGTGTTATAACTACTTAATGTAGGTGCTTTTTTACCTCTTAAAGGCAAATACCGTTAAATCATCCAAAATCTAGCCTTCCTCGACGATGCTACCCCTACTAAGAAGAAGAAGTTTATTTAAGTGTATATATAGGCCCGTTAAGAGGCCTAGAAACTAGATATCTATAAAGGGCGAGCCTTAGGATAGGACGCAGGCATGCGCCCGTACGTTCTTAGCGTCTATATATTCTTTATCGGATTCCGTACATTCGTAGACTCCTTCCTACTTTTATCGAACCTATTAAATCTTAACCTACCCTAAACCTCTATATATACGTAGTTCACCCGTAACATTAGGTTCAATCTAAAAACATAGATAAGTCCTCTATTAACTTTACTCCGGAGTCCCCTATATACTAACTAGAGGCTAGAAACACTAAATAGGAACCGTCGATCGAAGCAATACGACGAGTAGTAGAAGAACTATATAACCGATAGCACGTAATAGAAGCTGAGCTCCGTAACGAACGCGTAGCCTACTATAACGCGGAGGCCGCCCGTAATTAAGAGGCCTCCGACACTAATTAGCTAGGAGAACCCTCCCTCTTAGTACTCGTTAAATCGCTAATAGAGGCTCTCTCTGCTACGAACGTCTCTCGTCCCGCCGGAGAGCTATTAGGACCTAGAGACTAGAAGCCCCCCTCCTAGGACGGTAGAGCTAAGACATTTAGAGACTACCTCCTAAGGCTAAAAAGCTCTTATCGAGTGCGCTCCGCCCTAAAACCTACACTCTCTAAGGAATACTACTAGAACGTCGTCTACAATACCCTCCCCTCCTGCGAAAGGGCCTATATACGCTACTTCTAGGAGAAAGGAAGCGCCTTAAAAGGAAAGGACCCTAAAGCTTTCTTTACGTAGCTCGAACACGTATTCGCGGACAGTAACGAATAAGTAAAAGCTCTCGAGTAGCTTACTAGTCTACGACATAGCTTAGGCTAACCTTAGCACGAACACTAGCTAGAATTCGACGGACTCCTACTTAGCGCTAGCGGGGATAGCTAGCCTAATTCTACTAAGATAGGGTACCTAAAGAACACCTTTTCTAACTCCGCTAAGATATATACGGCGACTATCCTAAAGAGTATAGACTACTACTCCTTCTCGGAGGAGGTAGAACGCATTATAACTAACTTAGAAACTA